GTTAGAAATGCTAGAAAACTAACACCAAAGGCTCAAGAATAATCTGGCCCTGATGGCTGAGACCAAGCAGCTTAAATAGAGGCAGGAGCAGGTGGATCATATGAGCAGTTATTAGTAGAAACTGGGTAGAGTTAGACAGGTGAATGAAATGACCAATTAAGCCAGCGATCAGTGCCAAGATCGTGAGATTAGAGCTGCACCGATACAGTTTTTTTTCAATCCAATTCAATACCAATACGTTGAATCGACCAATATCCGATTCAACTCTTGAATGAATTAACCATATATCTTGCTATTTGACTGAAGGCTTTAATCTTGATATAGACAGTGTTATAAAAATGTAACAAACAAACACAGCTGCTTATTTATTAATAAATAGCAGTAAAATGAAAGAAATAATTCAGTTTAAACTGCACTGGATTGGATCTCCGATATCTGATCTCACAACAATATTGATCCAGCTAAATAGTCAGTTTGATCCAGGTATCGGATTGGTAAATCTCCATAAGGACCTATTAATTAACAGGCTTCTATTTTTGGGCAATAGTTGCATGCATTGGCCTATTCAGCAGCCATGCCATGATGCATTGTCGCTCCCTCTATTTGTAATATCGCTTTTAATAATCCACCCCACAAGACCACATCCCGGTGACCGGTTGGACTGATGTCAAAATATTCAACATCAGCCTTAAAGAACTTGTGGGGGTCAATCTCTAATCTAAAGCATATGCTGACTTTAGCATTGTTAGTGGGTGGCGATGTTGTCTGCAGGTTTTCCACAAGCATTAAACAGAGGTGCTTTTCTAACCAAATGTTGATAGGTAGACTAAAAAGTGGTCAGTCCCATTAAAACTAGTCAAGAGTGACTTCCTTACTTAAAAAGAGAGTCTTAAACATAGATACTACAAAATGTTGCACATAGAGCGAACCTCTAAATAAGGATAAGTGAGGCTCCTAATGATAATTATAAAAACATTATTTTTTTTACCTTTTTAAACAAATATTTGGATATATGGTATATTTTAGTGACCAGATTACAGACCAGATTTTTGGTCCAATAAACACAGATAGAAGGATAATGATGATTATGTTGAGGCAAACTATTCATGTGTCAGTTTGGCTCAGAGCTGCAGTAGGTCACGACTCCCTGACAGCTTCTCAGCTTCTCTCTGAGTCCAGATTGAAATTCTGTCCAACAAACTGACAACCAGCAGCAACATCACCACAGTTAGCAGCGGCCATGAATTCAAACTGCAAAGGGCTAATCAGGACCGACCTGGACTGCTGACATTAAGCTTTCACTGCTGATGTAGATTTTGTTTTTTAAGCTTTGGCAATGATATTGTATGGCTTAATGAGTGGAATACTCGTCTAATGCTAAAATCTTTCTATCACTATCCATTTTATTCCGACCCAAACAAATGAAACAGGTGGATGATTAAGTGGAAAAAGCTCAGCTTTGCTCATTTTCATTCCTCTGTTTGGCGGTGGGGTTTGCTATGCCACATAAGTGCGATCTAAAATCAAACAATTGGACCAGACTAGATATTCTAAGCTTTTTTTTTTTTTTTTTTAAGTCTTTCTGATGTACAAAAAATAGGCTGAAAATGGGCGAAGAAGCAGTGAAACTTCGACCCTGACAGACAATGTGGAGGGAATTTTATTCCATTATGATTTCAAACAAAAGAAACTGGTAATGAAGAAAATGCAATCCAGAAATTAAACTTTGAAAAATATTTTGATCAAATAAGGTTTTGAGAGAAAAGTTGCAGCTTTTGTAGATTTTATTTTCAGAGTGAAGGAGGTGAAGTCTTACAACAGGTCTGACTGCTCCAGTCTGCTGAGTTTGCATCTGGAAATATGAGGCAAATGCAGAATGTTGCTGAGTGGAGGGTTTGCAGGATCCCTCTTATCTTACTTTGCCCCTAAGGGAAACCTTCTCCTGTGATTTAGCACATGGTACAAACTTGGCTCTGACATCTTTCAGGTTGTGCTTTGGCGAGAGTTATTCCTGAATTTCTCCCTCCTAAAGGTTTGTGTCACCTTGAGTTTTTTGGGGTCAGAATGACTGCTGTTAAAATAAAAGCGCTTATTTTTGCCTTAAAGCTTTTTAATGATGTTCTTGGAGAGCAAATTCAACATCTTTCAAACAGCACCTTCAGTAAGTTTCGCCGAATCTGGCAGTTCCTCCCACACGCACATTCTGGTGGAGAGATCCTGAAGGGAAACGCCACAGGGAAGAAAAACACAGTTCTAAAGTGTTAACAGCCATGTTGGTGTGTATGAATTTGGCAAAATGAGAGGCGAGGTCAGGCCTCAACTGTCTCTAAATGATGGGTGCAGATTTAGATGGATTTTAAGACAAGATGGACAAGGGTTTAACTTTATGTTACCGTTTCCTCCTTTTCTCACTAAGCTCCTCCTCTTCTTTTATAAACAAAGTTCATAAAGAGAAATTATCTGAAATATTCTGAAAGCCTGGTTAGCGTTTGTGCATTTCTCCTGCAGGGTTACTATATATTGTTGGCCAGAAAAACAAAGGAGTTTTCCAGATAAAATCTGGCCTCTGAACACTTGAATGAACACAGAGATATTTCATTTCATCTGAGCCTGGAGGGCTGGAAGAATGAATATGTAATAAGATATTCTAGAGAAAAAGAAGGCGGCTATATTTACCTGAACGATTTCTTAAGCTACTAGTTTCATAACTTTGGCTAACCTTCGACATGAACTCACAAAAATATTTCATCCAAATTTTATGATTTATGTAATTTTACTACAAAACCAATCCCCCATACTTTAACATAAACATGCTAAATAAATCTTGCATATAGATAAAGTGTATCTATTCAAAATGCATACTTGTCATGTTTATGCAATTAGAAATAATAAAGTATATTTACTCAAAATTCATATTGATGAGTGTTTTTATTTCAAATACATAAAGTTTATTGTTTGAATTGCAGAAAGGAATCATACAATTCAAAAAATAAACTTTATGTATTTTATTAAACTAATGAAAATGCATCCTGTAAGGTTTATTTATTAGATTTGTGTTTAAATTATCTTAAAAAACATGGGAATTGACATGTAGTGATATAGCATGAATCTTAGAATGTGTTTGAAATGTTTTTGTGACTGTGGTGTGAAGATGATGGTTTACCCTTCACCTGCTTTATCACTGGTTCTAGCTTCCAAAACCATTTTAAAGCATTTACAGCTAATAACTCAGAATGCATGAAAAATTACACCGGTAAAATGTTCACCAATATAGAGTTAACATAGTTGGAAAGCTTAGATTCTCCACAACTCAACCACTTAGTTCATTTTAAGGACAAAGCGAGCACCAACGCACAATTAACACAATTAAAACAGGTATAACAAGTCAAAATGTAAACATGACAAAGCACAGCAAGCAAGCATGTCTTTATTTCTGCTGTTCAAAAATGACCTATTATTTTTGAGAAAAAAAAGAGGAACTTTGAGTCATGTTTGAACTGATGCAGCTTAGGCTGTGTTTTACTCACCAAATTTTCATGTATATATTCAGAAACTAGAAGGTGTTAGCCTTCAAACAAGATATAACACATGTAATATGGGCTTACAGTTCCTAAGTTATTTGCTTTTCCATTTGGGTTTGCAAAATAGGCGAGAATTTCCCAAAATGAGGTGGACGTTAGGAGTCTAGACTGTTTCACTGAAAGTTGAAACACTTTTATTTCCAATTGGGCTGAAATGATGAACTGTCATTAATCCATTATTCCAGCATCTAATATAGAGATGCGATCAAATTGTTCCTTTGAGTAACGAAACACACAATCTAAAGCTTACCATTTTTGCCATTTAAGACAAAACTCTACTAAAATATAAACATAAGAATCTATTCAATTTGAATTAGATATATATTTATATAAAATGGTATCATGCATTTTATATATATATATAATTTCTAGTATATTTAGCAACTTAAACAATTTCTTTGTAGATTTATCAATAAATGAAAAGAAAATAGCGCATCCTAATAATAATGATGAGAAAATAATAGTGCAGTCCTCATATTTACAGACTAGATTTGTAAGATCAAAGTATTTTGTTGATTACTTCTTATCGGTTATAAAACTGAAAGTTTTTTTATTACATTTGAAGTGATTAACATCTGTTTGAACTTGTCTTTCTTTAGTGTGATTCCCCCTTTTATAAAGAGGGTCTTTATTCCTGAGATCAGAGTTGTGTGACAGATTTTGGAGGGTTGGATTTTGCAAAGCTTTCATCGCTGCGCCTCTGCTTCCTTCAAAGAGTTCAACAGTTTACGCGTGCATTGTTCAGTTGTCCCTGACATAACATTGTACAGCTCTGTGTTCCTTTGGATCTTTGTGAAACGCTGATGAGCCTATTTGTTTAAAGAACCAAAAACCCTTTGATGGATGAATTTGATTTTGGTTTTTATTAGAAGCCTCTGCCTCCCTCGCTGAGCCTGCTCTGTCTAATAGCTGATAAATGTAATTAGGTTTCCATCAGAGGGAGGAATAATGATCGGCTGTGGCTCCACGTCTTGTGTGTTAGTGAGATAAAACTCCCTCTCAAATACTCGAGGTTCAGCCTTGAGTTGGATCGATAATCTCTCCTTGTCTTCTTCTGTTATAGTCGAGTGTTGTTGGTGGTGATGCTCTTATGTTGCTGAGTGGAAATTTTCTCCAACTTTTTAAAAGACTTGCTCTCATCTTTAGTTTTCAGTTGTTTTTTTTCCATATAAATGTTCTGAATTCGTTTTTGTTTTACTTTTGTTGTAAACAAAACATGTATTCCCAGATTTGTTGCATTTGCATTGTTACCAGTAGAGTCATGCATCATTGCAAACCCAAGCTTCTTTCCTTTTGTTGTGCAGAAGGACTCTGAGATAACTTCTCATAAAACTTTTGCTGGCTCCTCCACAAAGCAGATCTGCCTCTTCTGTCAAGCCAGCAGGTCTCAGCGATTCGTCTTTCTGTGTCCCCCTACAGGCTTCGAGTTGCTGTACCAGCCAGAAGTGGTGAGGCTCTACCTGTCTCTGCTGACCGAGAGCCAGAACTACAACACCCTGGAGGCAGCTGCAGGGGCTCTGCAGAACCTCAGCGCTGGACAGTGGACTGTAAGTCCTGGGCTGGGGAGGGTATGAAGAGAAGAAAATGACTTTTTGCTTAATTGCTCACTTTCTGCAAACTTTGACGTTGGCCTTTTAGTGGCTTGCATTTTACCGCTGGAAGCACCAATTAGGACTAAATGGATCCTGTTCTGCTTTAACGGAGGGCAGGAAGACTGCGGCTCAGAAAGCAGCAACAAAGTTAAGCTCAGTGTGAAACTAAAGGTGCTTTTAGTGTAAAGGTGACTGTTGGACAGCTGGTGGAGCAGCTTTAAGGAAAGGCAAAAGTTGGTTCATCAGAGAAAAAAAGCGATCTCCAAGGATCCTACTGTCTGCAAAAGTCTGGTTCTTTCCTTCCCTTCTTCCTCCTTTACTTTAAAGATATCTCCATATTTTCTCAGTGAGCTTCGGATTTAATGTAACTGACTAAAGAAATGCATTGCAAAAATAAAAAAAATATATCTTTTTTGAATATGAGCAGTGAAATAAAAATCCTCTGCCTATTGAGTTTGACTTTTGGCTCTGAAAAAAGGATAACAGCTTTTTTCTTTTCTTATTTCAAACTTAAATCATCTCATTCCATGGACAATTGTCCATTAAAAAAAATGACTTGCTTAGATTTTTGTGCGTTCATTTCTAAAAAAAGATCTAAACAGAATAAGTCAAATTTCAACACGAGAGACAATTAACCACCTTTGGATTTTTGTGGAGTTTTTGTAATAAAAGTGGAAACAACTTAACACCCATAACATCTTATAGTGAAATAAAAACCTTTTTTAGTTCTAACATTAGTCTGTTAAAAGGGAAAACATGAAGGAAAGGTGAAACCTTTAACCCTGCTGAAATCACATAATTAGATAACAGCTGTACACCACACTCATTACTCTTCAGTCACTCCAGTCAGTCGTGAAGCTGCTAAGAGGGTTGCTCTGCTCCCAGGCTGCAGGAAATTATCTACCGTATGTGGAAACGCTGGCCATCCAATGCCAGGTTACTCTAAGCACCTCAGGCAGCAGTCACCTGTGTTCCTCAGTAGACGGTCTACGTACACTCAGCTCACAGCCGCCTCTTCTCACCTGTGCAGCAACCTGCCTTTCATCGTTAGCAGCATCTTGTTTAATCAGAAATTTTTCTGGATTTTTAATCTTTGATTTCAGCCCCTTGTTCAGAGGCTTCCGATCATGATTGTTTTTTGTTTATGGATTCAGTGATGCTGTTTTTTTTAGATCTATTAGCAGAACAAAACATCTCCTGCTGACCGGTAAGAGAATATCAGAAGGTTTTTAACCCCACTGATTTCCTGATTTCCCTCCTTTTCCCAAGTTTTCCACAGATCACTACTGCCACCTGGTGGCTCAGACTGCCTCAGTTTCTCCCTAATTGTATCTCCTGGGGAAGCAGCTCTTAGAGGAGAGATCCTTTTATGTCAAAGCTGATGTTTCATGCTAAAGAAAATAAGAAGTAAAATGCAGTGATGTTAAAATACAGACAAATTAAAGCAAATGTCCATTCAGAGCCCCGCTGTGCAGCGAGCCCAGCAGCAGGAGGCGCTAATGAATGAATGATGGAGTGTTTGTGCTCACATATAGGACCAAATAGGAGAGAAAGTGAAAATTAAATTTCTCATACATGGTCTGTTTGCTTTCTTCCAGTGGTCCAACTACATCCGAGCCACGGTGCGGAAGGAGAAAGGTCTCCCCATCCTGGTGGAGCTGCTGCGTTCCGACTCTGACAAGGTGGTCCGAGCTGTGGCCATCGCTCTCCGCAACCTCTCCATTGACCGACGCAACAAGGATCTGATTGGTAAGAAGCATTCAACTACTGAACATTATATCTTAAGATATTTTTAATCATATAGAAGAATTAAAGACTTTGTATCCTAAAATACCCTTTCCCTTACAGGAAGCTACGCAATGCGGGACCTTGTCAGCAACCTGCCAAGTGGTCAGCAAAGACCAGCCAAGAACCTGGAGGAGGACACCGTGGTGGCCATCCTCAACACCATTCACGAGATTGTGACGGACAGCTCGGAAAACGCTCGCTCCCTCATCCAGGCCCAGGCCATCGAGAAGCTGGTCGCCATCAACAGGACGAGGTGCAGATTATCTGATGAAGGAACAACTGTTTCCTAAGTTTGGGGAGTTATATCAACACAAAGTAGTGTTTCGGTTTGGTTAAAGTCATAACTAAACAATAAAACGTTCTCTAATGGTATATTACTGTAACCTCCAGTGTGCCCCAAGGTTGTTTTCTCAGCCCTCTATTTGTTTTCTTTGCACTTGGTTCTTTGATAAATTATTATATAGCGTTTTTTTTTTTTACCATCCTTACACAGATAATTTAGAAATTTATCTGCCTGTGTCTCCAAACTCTTCTGACATACAGTCCATCCAAGCATTTCTTGAAGACATCAAATCAAAGTCATAGCTAAAAATAGTTTTATTCTTGACACATCAGCATGTTCTCTGCAGCCAAATAATCGTTTTGGGCTTCCACGCCTCTCCTCCTGCACCTAGGAAAATTTGTAACTACGAGGACGGATCTGCGCGGAAAACGTTGCGAGCGAGGAGCAGCAAGGGTTCGCAAATGTAAACATTTAGAGACATCCCGTGATTTAGCTAATATATATCACCACTATTATATGATTGTGGAAAAAACTCCAAGAAAGTTTTTCCACAACGTTCCTGGCTACTGCCACCTGGTGGCTCAGTCCTCCTCATTATCTCCTTAACTGTATCTCCTCGGGAATCAGCTCTTAGAGGAGGCTGCACAGACTTTAAACGCTGCAGACGCTGTGACAGCTCATTTTCCACCCAGAATGTCCGTGCGTCAATCCCAATGGGCCCTTAAACCTTTCTTTATGAACAATCCCAAAACTGAATTCCCTCATCCTTCCTAGGCAATCAAATGCAGCTCTGGACCAACCATCAACTATTGAATAAAAAGTTTAAGAGCTTTTTTCCAGCTCCCCCTGTTAGCTAAAGATAAATATTTAATCACTCTTTATTATCTTGGGTTCAAAATCCTGTAGTTTGTTTTCAACTATATTTAAATCTACATGATTGATTGATAGTTTGCTGACATTGGGTTTTATTTTAAACTATGGTGTACAGAGGATTGGAGAAAGAAACATTCACTTTTCTTCCACTTGAGAATAAAGCAGCTTCACATAAATGTCTTTTTCTGTAACGTGATCAAATATGTAAAATTAAAGAGGCATGAATTCTCTGCGTCGGATGTAGAAGATCACACACACCAGTCTGAGATGTGTGTTTTTTTTAGACCTTGTTTTCATTCTACTATAGCTAGGCTTTGAGAGCCGGTTGCATCATAAGGTTTTTATTAGTATTCATGGAGAATAGTGTAATATATCTCTACTAGTAAGAGTTTGCCTTTCAAATCCTGAAAAGTGTGAGCCTGCAGACATTTCTGCTCTCCACAAATTATTTAAAAGGCTTTTCCAGCTTGAGGCAGTGCTGTTGATGGAGCTCTAAATCTACAAGTTTAAAGACTGGAGGACTGACCCACCTCATGATGCTCTCTTATTTAAAGACCTATTATTGTGCTGGGGTGTATTGATTATGCTGACAGCTGCTAACTACCATGAATATACATCGTCCAGCCGCAGAGCAAATGGCTGCATAGCTGCTCAGCCTCATGGGTTAGCTTTTTTTGATGGGAATCATTCCCCCCCGCAAAACCACTTTTTAATTAATTCTGGAGCCTCAGAGGTAACTAATGAAAGGAAATTCATAACTCATCTGGTTATGAATTAAAAACAAAAGCGGAGCTTGAAGGCAGGCGTGGAGGCAGAGCCTTTGAATAAAGAGATTGATCGTCGGCGCGTCGATCCACCACAGCAGCTGTTACTGTCAGGGGGTTAGTTGGGCTTTCTTGCTCTAATTGCTCTTGTAAATTCCTCATTTATTCACCGTTTTTCATTCATCTTCTCTCCCCTCAGCCAATCAGCTCGTGAAACAAAGGCGGCATCACATGTACTGCAGACGGTTTGGAGCTACAAGGAGCTGAGGAACGCTTTGGCAAAAGACGGTTGGAACAAAAGCCACTTCCAGGTACAAAACTTTACTTTTTCACAAGTTAAACTTCCTGTTCTGATCTGGTCAATCAAACATTATGGAGCTTATCAGTGCTAAGCTGGGCTTCAGTCACCTCTTAAATATCTCTATAAATCTCAGTGGGTTTTATTATCGTTTTGGTTGGAACCACAAGGCCACAAATGATGCTACAGCAAAGCAAACAAAGTTGCCCAACATGTTAAATCACGGTGAAGACAGCTGTGGTAAAGATTGTCACCACAAACAAAAGCCTATTGTGTTTGTGTTTTGATGTGTATTTTCCAGCAATAAGTTGCAAAACACAAACCCGATGGCAACCTTCTGGTTCAGTTGCAGCCAGAAGCTCTCGTTCACATTCCACTGCTTATAAAGACACACCTGCTTGTGGAGCGAGGCAGTCTGGGCATGCAGAGGTGTAACCACCTTTAGACCTGATATCACCACTAAGCTGTCAGTTCTGTTGAAACTGGCTAAGAGGAACAAAGGCAAACATTTTTCACATCCAGAGAAAAATCCTGAATTTTTTTTGACATTTTGAGAGAGAAGAAAAAAGTTGTGAGAGAAATCTATTTTTTAAAGAAAAAGTTTTCTCTCTGTAAAAAATAAAATAAAAATAACAATATTTGAGAGTAAAAAAAAATTTTTGAGCGAACTTTCCACTCAGGAAATCTTTTTTCCAAATTTCAATTTCTCTTTTTTTTTTTTCCTAAAACTTTTTCTTCAGTCTTAAATAATATCAGTTGGTGTGAAAATGTGGTTTCTCCAATAAATTTATTGTACTTTCAAATTTATTCTCTCCTTTCAGATCTTTTTTTTTTTTTTTTCGGATTGAATAAAATCATAAAAATAACTCCATAGTAGGCTGGTATATTTTAGGTGACAGGCTTTAAAACAAGTGATGCATTATTCAGGCTTCAGTACTGAGACCCGATTCTGATGTTCACCAAGGCCCATTCCGTTTTTCAAGAGTGAGACCTAAAAAAAATCTCTCTTTAAGTTCTGTGATTCATGTGGCTGTGAGTCCAACAAGGAATTAAAAGATCAGAATTTTTTTTTTTTTTTTACTAAACACAAAAGAAGCGGATTACAGAAGAATCTTTTATTTAGGAGCTTTAATTTCAGGATCCAGCTTAATCAGGGCAAAAATAATATATACCTTAAATCTCCAATCAGAGTTGATGGAAGATTCTGATCTCTGGCTGCCTCTGACCTTTGAGTCTCTAACTGCGCTGTTCACCAGCAATATATTTAAGGTGTTCACTCTCCTTGATGCCACCACCTGATCTAGATCTTTGTAATCTAGATTCTTAGTTTGTGTGTGAGTTTCTATGAGGTTGTTTAATAGGACTGAATTCATATATAAATGATGAATTTATAAATATTCATAAATATGAATTCATAAACTAATGAGAACTACGTCCCCAGAAGCTTTATTATGTATTAACGCATTTTCAGCGTTGAATAAAATGCCCTTTATTGGAGCTGCAGAGTTAACAGATCCAGGTTATATTATGCTACTTGCTTTATCTTTTTGCTCAGCCCACTGTGACGGCCACCCCTAAAACCACCAAGAATGGAAAACCAGGTTATGACGACACCACCCTGCCGCTGATGGAGAAGAACCAAGGTCAGTCAGAATGTGTGTGTGTGTGTACCGGTCTAGCCCTTACAGTGAGGACCATTTTTTCCAATTTCACCATCAAGTTGAGGACCAGTTGTTGCAAAGTGAGGACATTTTGCTGGTCCTCACATGCTATTTTGCTAATAGTTAAGTTCCGGGCTAAGGTATCAGTTGTTTAGGAGTAGGGTTAGGGTGAGGTATGCATTGGTAATGGTTAGGTTTAAGGTTATTTTTAGGGTTATGGGATAGAAAGGGTTTAAAATGACTGAAAATCAATTGAAGTCAATGGGAGTCATCACATGGTGCTCACTACAATGGAGTAGGTGTGTGTTTGTATGTGAGTGCTCCTGGGTTTCAGGCTGGTTTCAACATCTTCAAGAAATAACCCCTTCTAAAGAAAAATCTACATATCAAAACTGAACCCCTTTTCTGGTAATTATAGAAAATCTCCAACACACTTTAAAAAAGTGAGTTTATTCTCAACAACATTTATAAGTTCAATCATCCTGTAAAACTAAACTTAGAATGTTGATTTCTCTTTATTACCTTAAATTTAGTTATTTTTTCTTAAAATATGGTGAAAGTAATCAGTGTTGCTATATGCAGAAAAACATCAACTTATGAAAACTGTGAACATGGCAGGAATGCAAAAACAAAACCACACCCTTTCCAAAGGTGTGTCCTTTCTGTCGCCATCTTTATTGGCTTTCAAAACATCTTCCAGATGTTATGAACGTTGGAGGCTTTAATATTATCCGTGTTCACAGTATTCCAACAAAAAGCATTGGATCTTTTAGCTTAAATTGGACAAAGGTCATCCATTTTCTTACCTACACCAGTCAAAGTGCATTTATCTTAAATGGACAGGGAAGGAATTATCTAGGATATAAGTTACTACTGTAAGTCAAACTACAGATGATCAGAGAAGGCAGTCTGAGTCTAACATCGGGCATTTTATTATAAGTCTAATACATGTTTAACAACTGAGTCAGATGTAGTAGGTCAGTAAAATAACATGTTTCATCAGTTGTTTTCTCCTTCACTGAGCATTGAGCTGTTCCAAATTGAGTTTCTGTGGATCAGAGTCGATTAACTGCTGCAATGTTCTGGCAACACACACAACTTGATCATGATCTTCTACTCATAGGGCTAAAGCTCAGTTATTGCTCCTTCTCTGATGCTGTTTAATGCAGAGCAGTTTGTAAGGCTGTTTGTTCTCTGCTTTAATAAAACTTTATCATATTTCCGTTAGGTTTTGTTTCACCTTGAGCAAATAAAAACCTATAAAAAAATATGTCAGGTCAGCATACTCTGTCAGACCAGCATACCCATAGTCAATACGCAGGCGCAAGACGTCATATTTGCATATGTGTGACGCTATAAGTGGTAGGAAGTCTACTAGGCTACTTTATTCATGCGTGATATGATAAACAAAAAGTTGTAGTTGAAGTTAAACACACAAACTTACCAGAAAAGCTTACAGGAAGTCAATTAGGCTAGTTCATAATGCGTGATCTAATAAGTAAAAAGTTTAGTCCGAGGTAAACAGAATTTAAAGTTGTAGGGAAGTCATATTTAAATTTCAAATCATTCTGGCTTAAACATGTATATAAATGTACTCTTTATCAGACCATATTATCCCAAAAGTTAGAAAATTTCTATTTTTAAAAAATCCTGCCTTAAAATCAGTGGTTTTTTTCTCCTTATCTTATGCAGGCCAGTTAATTATGCGTCAGCTTGTACACCTAAATTCGGCCAATCATATATCAGCGATAATCTGTCAATCAAATGTTTTCGGTCATAACATCTTGATTCATATGTTGCAGCTAATATACGCAACGGTTGAAATAAGAAATAAGAATCATTTCCTTTCCCATTGAGTTCCGTCCCAGTGTTCACGGGGATGGACGTCTGTGTCTTCAGCAGGCGTAGAGCTAACAGAACTGGCGGCGTTGCGAGAAAAGGGCTCAAACATGTACGGCTGGAAGCCTTCTACACCAAACCAAGCTTCTGCCGCCCTGGCGTCCTCTTCCACAACAACTTCGTCCCCGCTTTCCTCCTCTAAATAAAAAATGTGTGACGGAGGAGACTCATCCACAACCTCTGACACAAAACTCTCCTCCTCTTGCCAGGTGCCAGAATCTGGATCATGTTTTGATTGAAGGAGTTGGATCAGAACTTCTTCGCTTATGAAATCTGTATTTTAAAAAGTTTTTTTTTTAATTATATCATTTGATTTTCACATTTTTTGTTGGCTAACTGATTTTCTGCAAAAAGAAAACCAGTAAAGTCTTAGAGAACAGCTCTGCCCCAAAATAGCAATAGAAACTGTAAGTAACTAATCCTTGAGGCTAACTGAAAGATAATCATCCTTTAATTCTGAATTACTTAAACAGCACAACAGCAGATTACCATCCTGGATGTTGGCAGTTTGCGGTTTCTCTCATCACGCTCGGTTTCCTGTTCTCTGATCTGGGCCCAAACATCATTACCCTGGAAACCATTTTGTCTCTGCGGCTCTGTTTTTTTCTATTTTAGCTTCAGTCAAAATTACACAACTTATTTTCAGGCAGCATGTGTCTGAAAAGTGTAAATTCCTGCAACGAGTGTCTGGTGATGAGACACTTCTGGACCAGCTGAGTCCAGGTGCAGCAAGAGCCAGAGTTATTAAAAATATCCATACTCTCTCTGACTATGAAAGTAATCTATTCCTTCATACAGTGTATCCAGATACACACATTTTTCAATGTTGTTTGCCTTTTTTGCTACTGTTTATTTTAGATTTCTGGATTATTTACTCATTAAAACAATAATCCTTCGGGAACATTAACATATCATCATTTTATTTACACTTATAAAAGGTATGTTTTTTACATTAATGAAAAGATTTTTATCTTTTTTTTCCCCCATGGTATTGAAATTCGAAAATATCAAGTTTGAATTTTTAGTAACCCTGAGATCACCCTAAGCCAAGCTGCGTTGTCCTCTGATATTAAAAATCGCTTTCTTTCTGCGAATTGCTCTCCAGTTTCCTGTACTGTATTGTTTGATCTGACATCTCTCTTTATTAGATCTGCATCGGGTCAAATAGTTTGAGGTTCCTGAAAATTTGACCTGTTTAGGACTCTGATCTCAGTGGACAGATAATTAAACCAATGTTTTTTTTAGCTGTGTATCTTGAAGCGAAAGGGAAGACATTCCTACTTGTTTCTGCTAATCTACAAAGAACATTGGTCAAAGTAAAACTAGTAGGTCATAATCCAACAGATTTATGCAGTAAAGTATTTTGGAAGAAATTCAAGACAGCTGCTATACACATCTTTGAGCTAAAAGGATGCAATCAGACTTTTTCGTCTCCATGATGTCTAACTTCAGTCAATTAAAGAAAACAGTTTAGAAATTAGCCTCAACTGGAGCTTCTTCTCTAAAAAAAAGAAAAGAGTTGTTCTTTAACAATAACTTTGTGCAGCTAGCGAAACAAAACATCAGTCACTGAATATGCTTCCATTATCGGTTTTAATGCCATTTTGAAGAAGAGCTTTTAGAAGAGCTTAATGGAAGCAGCAACATTTGAATCCACTTGTTAAGTTTCACAAAAAGTTTTTCTTTACAGTCCGATGAGCTGGTTTGTGAATAGAAGGAAATATGTTCAAGATAAGATGGAAATAGTTCTGACAGATGAATATTTACCGTACATGACTGTTTTAAAATCAAATCTCTTTCTACCCATCCGAATGGTGCATACCATCACTAATGCTATAAATAAGTACAACTTGTTGGATGGCAACATTTATTAAAGCGTTGCTCAATAACTGAGCTATGGTCTGTCTTGGCTTGCTAACTCTACTTCCTGTTTAATAGAGCAAAGTGTAACCTAAACATTTGATGCTTTGCATCACCTGGTTGACTTAAAACGCACCTAATGTTCTTTTTTCAACATTTTTTCAAGTTAGCTCAAAGTGAAACACGGCTTCCGAGTGTTTTCCTCAGAAAATGTGCATCCCTGCCTTAACTGGTAGTTAAAAAAAAGGTTGCAGAGATTTCCAAATCCTGCTTGTTCCATTAAATAAGTAAAAACCAGAGCAGCTTCGCTGCCTTCCTGTTATCTACTAACGATCCTGCTCTCTCAGACTGTTCTTGTAATTTTCTATACTTTCTTTTAAATGATCTCATAAGTATGCCTTCCAATTAAAAAAAAAAACAGATTTTTAAAGCTCCCTTTAGTTAATAACCTCCAGTTGGAAGAACTTTAGTGGATCAGGGTGCCACAGAAACACAACATGTTCACTGATCACAATTTATCGGGATGAAAATCAGTCAAAGGGTATTTCTCAATGCATCTCTAGAAAAGTTGGATTGTTTTTACAATATTTTATTGAATTGTTCACAGGAATAATAGAACGTTAAAAATATTTAAGCCTAAATATTCTGTGTGTTTCCAGACACAGTTATTTAATGACACTTTAATAACTGTAAGTCTAAGTAATCATGTTTATGTTCCCAAAACATTCCCAACATTCCCATCTCGTAAAAGGAAAAACTTTCTCTTTGTGTCTTGGAAATCTTAAACCACTGATCCCAGTCAAAGGAATGAGCTGACCACAGTCCTCTGATCTCATTAGATGGTTACTCCACCATTGACCAGAGGGACAAGGACTGCAAATACAAAACAGACGACGGCTCTGCGGACCTGACAGAACGGGAACCATTGAAGGTAAAGCTAATCCTCCTGTGATCTCATCTGGTTCAGGGGCCAAAGACAGAACTGATTTCATGTGGAAACATCATTCCTTGTCCTCTCCCCTCCCCACTCCTTCTGTGGTGGTCCTCATTAGAAGCTCTTAATTCTATCGACTCTCTAAACAGGCTGGAAGTTGTCGTCCTCGGTTAATGTTGCCCCCACAGCTCAGCGCTGCGGACACCCTCAGATCTTTGAGCCACCAGTTAATTGCCTGTAAGCTTTTGGAGTCCATAAAGCAATTAATCTGTGTCTGATTAAAAGAACCGCCAACGAACACACTTCCTGGAGATGAGCCTTGTTACAGAAATGAGCGCGCTGCCGAACTGTCAAGAGGTCGTCTACTGATTATGCAGCAAGAGCTTGTTTATTGTCAAGCAGAGTGAGAAGATTATGGCCTCGGAGGATGGCCGACATGTCGGATGACTTTCAAGTACTTTTTGGCTGTTTGGTTTTCATCTAGTTGATGGATGAGATCAGCCTTGTGGGAAAATAAAAAGTCTGGCTGCATCAGTGTGTGTTTACATAAACTGAGGGTTATCTTTCTACTTCTAAAGGTCTTTTTAAGGTAATATTAGAAGTTGGTTAAATGTGTTTGGTGAAAAAAAAAAGCCATGAATTGCTTTATTGACGGCTTACGCTCATTGATACTAATGTGAGATGTTTCAGATTAACAGACTTAAGACAGCACAGCTTCTTCTGTTCAGCTTTAAAACACTTGCAGCACTAAAAAAATGAGAGTATTAACTTCCTTCTCAGCTTGTTTTCATTTTAAACATGATCTGTTTAAACCTCACTGCATGATATTAGGGTTCTTTATCAGATTGTGCACAGCAGCGTCTGACTGTAATGTAAAAACTCTGAGAAAATGGAAGCTTCTTCACTAAAATAAACTATCCCGACAAAAATGGCTGCATAAATAAAAAGCAATCCTGGTTTCTGCTGTGAGTTGCTGTGTTGTATTCACGTGAGGAGGATATTTTACTGTAGAAGCGATGGTGTTTTTGTTAGGATAGGTGAAGGTCGGTGAATCTGTGGTGTGTGGTCTCTATGGGTGGAGAGCGGATGTGTTTGTGTTGTAAAGCGAAAAACAAAAATGTAGAGATGAGTTAGTTTGTAGTAAATAATCAAGGATCCCACCTGGACTTCAGGTGTCTAATCAGTGTTAAAGAACCAAAGGTGAGACCAGCCTGTCCACATAAGGAGAAGAACCTGTCAGAACTTGGAGAACAGAGCGTATCTGAACCCAGTGGTCCTTCATTTGGCATCCCTCTCATCTATTTTTAGTAGCACATAGAGCACAGAGACCAGGTTTTAGCATATTTAGAGAGGCTTTTATCATTCATTTGGGTTTTTAATGATGCATCTGAACTGTTCAGAATGGAATTTAACTGAAGCCAGAATCAGAATTTATTTTTAATAACCCAATCTATTATAATTATACAGAAAGGATTCAAAATGTTGAATTCATACAGTCCATCTAATATCTGATTAATCTTCCTTTGTCAAGTTTTCAACAGAGAACAACGAAAGATTTTTTTTGGGGCAATCCTGCCTTTTTTTAACCTCTTTTTTATCAGAATTAGTAAAACTAACTTTGCTGATTGCTTTCATGATAGGAAGCAGGCTTTTTAGAGCAGCTTTACCTGCTCTGTCAACAGGACGATTGTGCTTCTGGAAAAAAGCCGTTTATCAGGTAGCTGGTCCTTGTTTGTCCTTAATTCTCCGGCAGCCCGTAGCATAATACGACCAGCACCATGTTTGACAGTTGGAACAGAGATGAGCTTTAGCTTGACTCATCAGTAATTAGGTTACTGTTCAAATTCACAATAACCAGCCGGGATTCAATCTTTTATTTATGATGATGGAGGTATTTTTTTTAGTTTTATGATTCCTCTCAGGAAGCATCCTTCGGGTTTGGCTGAAGAGGACTCTGTTACCGTAAAGCCAGGGCAGCTGTGCAGGTCTCTGAGGATTACTGTGAAGCTCTATGTTCTCCTGATCCGTGACCTGCTTTGAATGCAGCTTCTCTCCTTTGATTTGCATGCTTTGTTTTGCTGATTTCTGATATCTCTGACTTCTTTCCAAAGCCTTCCTTGTGCCAGGAATCTAACTTTTGCTTTTTTATTCATGGATGCGATGCATGTCTGGTTTTTTTAAGCCTTTGTGTAAAATGTACTGACCTCTTTGTTTTACTGTGTTTTCTTTTTTTGTTTTGTTTGTTCCTAACCCAACCTCCCTTGGCTACAGAATGACACAAATAGGAAACACTATATCAGGAGTAACAGGCCTGCGGTCAGTCTGGTGGACGCTTGTGATGTTAAGCCTCAGCCTGTTGACTCCTGGGTCTAAGTGCATGCATGGTAGGTTCCTGAAATGAATCAAAAGCAAACCAAATTGCTACCCTCAACTTTGAGTCCTGAATCATTTCCATCCTCCCCAGTTGATCATATCACCTTTTCTCCCCCTTCTCACTGCATCATGTAGATCATTACATTTCTGTCCCTGATTGGTCGGCCCGCTGAAACAGACCCTATTTCTGTTTGATGCATTAGGTTAAAAAAATAAAATAAGAAAAATAAAAGAAATAAAAGCTAAAAAGCAGAAGTTATTTTGTAAAACTCTAAACCTGCGACCATACAGTTTGTAAATATGCTGTTGGATTTTCTCCTCTGTGTCACACATGGAGCATTGACAGGAATTTGGTCTCTGTTTACAATTCCACTCCGCCCCCCTCGTTCAAATGTACGCCCAACGCCTTCCTCTCTGCTTCCCCCCTGATGCCCGACAACCTTTGAAGGAATGGGTTTGCAAAATGATAGAATGGGGAGTCATTCTTTTTTTTTTTTTGAAGAGATCCTCCAGGGACTCAGGTGGCCCTTAATGAAAACCTCCAGGGAGGAAGATAAAGATATGCACAGGAAGTCCTCCTATTTGCATTCCTCACACATTTTTTTCTTGGCTAAAATATTCAAAGTGTTGCAGAATGGGTTTCTCAAGGTCGCCAGTCAATCAGGGTTAATCTCTGTCTCTCTCATTGTTTTCTCCTCAGCATGTTTCTCTCTCTTCCTCCTCATCCCTGCTGTTGTCCTCTGCTCCTGCCTTTCTGATCCCCGCCCTCTTGTCTAAGTCATCTTTTGAGAAAACATTCTCTAATATTCATACATTGGGTTAATCATCGTAGCTCACATAGTAATCCTTTAGAAAAATAACCACAACTGTAGGTAAGTTATGTTCATTTCATCCGGACCATCCTGCATCTGTTCGGCCATCTTTGGCCTCCAGCTGCCATCCGTCTGAAGCAATAACTGTAACGGCTTTTAAAGGGCATGCACCAACATTTCAATGGCAATCAGCTCATTGCTGGCTACTGTACAGTTGTATTCATTTCAATGATTCAAACTGAAATATATGGGGGATAAATGTGACAAGAAAAAAGAGTGAATGCAAGGTAGCAGAGAACAAAGATGAAAGGTGAGACAGAGTGATGGGTATATATACAGAGGTAGAGCATCATTGCATAACACAATGGCTGCACTATAAAAAAAAAAAAAGAAGTGGAAGAAAAGTTCCCAGCTAGACTGATGAAAAACAAACAGGAAATATACAACACTGCAAAAAAAATAAAATCTAAATAAGTCATTTTTTCTTAAAATCAGTGCATTTTTTCTTGAAATAAGGATTGAAGTGAGACACTTTGCCAATGGAACAAGACAATTTACACTTTAAACAAGAAAAAACAATTGCATTGTCTTATTTCAAGTGCATAATATCTAGATAGCTTATTTTAAGAGTAAAAATACTAATTCCATTGGCAAATCATCTTATTAACCTGCTCAAATTAAGGGTAAATACATTTAATTTAAGACATTTTTACTCATTTTGAGATCGTTTTTGCAGTGAAGGCCAGGAATCTACACTGGAAAAACAATCTAGAAATAAGTAAAAAAAAATTTAAATTAAGTGTATTTAACCTTAATTTGAGTAGGTAAATGCGATACTTTGCCAATGGAATGGGTATTTTTACTCTAAAAATAAGATAATTAGATAATATGCACTTGAAATAAGACAATGCAATTATGTTTTCTTATTTTAAGTGTAAATTGTCTTGTTCCATTGGCAAAATGTCTATTTTACCTCCTCAATTCAAGAACAAATGCACTTATTTTAAGAAAAAATTAATAATCTAGATTCCGATTTTTTCCAGTGAAAAGCCCATTTCGCTGAAAGCTAAGATACGCTAGGCTGTCTAGCTCTATGTTATCTACAGTTCTCAGTTTGCAACATATGAGTGAATCAACACTGAAACATAGTTTGACAGAAATACACAATCCACTTTGAAGCCTTTCTCACCAAAACTAGACATACTTCAAGTTCATACTAAGTATATATCAAACGTTCACCAAGCTCTTTGATGCTAGTATAATATATGGTTACTAAAACATATTTTATGTCACTAAATTGGCCAACTTGAAGTGTACTTTGTACTATACTTAAAGTATTCCTCGAGGTATACTTTCATTTACTTTTAATACACTTCCAGGTTTACTTATAGTTTATAAAAGTTTAATTTGAAGTTTCCTGAAATTAACCTTTTTAATTTTCTAAATTATACACTATTACTATGATTACATTGTCTTGTTCTGTTAAATATGAAATCTTTCTTTTGCCGTTTGATCCGAGACACTATTGCGTTTCCATTACCCATCAAATAGCAGAGATTGGAATAATGAAAATAAATAGTTTCTGGGGGACAGTCTGAAGCTGTTTGTATAAAAGGCAGCAGCAAACATAATAATGATGCAGCAAACAGTGTATGATTGGTCAATACTTTGGCATTTCAGTCGTTTGAACCAGACCACAGAGCGACATAGTTCAAAATATTATTTCAACATTGCTTCATTGGCTGGTATTGGATGATCCTTTGATTGTTGGCCCACCATAAATCATCGACTATACCCAAAAATCAACCTTTCTGACCATCATTCAACATTGAATAAACATCTTTTGCTGTCTGGGTTTTCACACACGTTGGGGTAATTTGATGCAGGATGATTGGAAGTAAAAATTCTATGGAGCGATTTTTCTTTTTTTTTTTTTTTTTTGCAATTGAAGTTGAAAAAAAGAAATGCAATCCAGGAATGAAAATTTTTAAACCTTTTTAATAAAAAACTGCTTTTGGAGTAACTTTGCAGTTTTTCTGCAGATCTTGTTTTTCTTTTTTTTTTTCTTTTTTTTTTTTACAGATTTCATATTTTCATTTTTTTTCTTCTAAATATTCTTTTTCAAATTGATATTTATGGATGGCCTTCTTTCTTAGTTATGTTTCATAGATTATGTGAGCAGCGAAGACGCATTTCTATTGGTCTGGGTTGATGTTAGAAAGATTTTTATTAGTTAACATGTGGATCAGGAGTCCATATTTGTACTGGGTTTGAATTACAGTAGAACTAATTGAAAATATAAAATCTATTAAAGAAATTTAAAGTTATGAAGTTATAAGGTTATGAAAATGAAACAAAACTCTAAGAGAAATGGCTAAGTTACTCTCAAAAACAGTTATTATTTAATTATTTTCAATTTCAATTTACAAAATGTGTTCTTTGATTGCAACAATAATGAAAAAAAATCCACTCCATAAAATACTGACAAATTAAAACACTGCAAACAAGTGAAATTAAATAAGTAATTTTTTCTTCAAATAAGTGTATTTTATCTTGAATTGAAGAGGTAAGTGAGACACTTTGTCAATGAAACAAGAAGATTTACATTTAAAATAGGAAAAAGCCTTATTTCAAGTGCATATTATCTAATTATCTTATTTTAAGAGTAAAAATACTCAATCCATTGGGAAATCATCTAATTTACCTTCTCAAATTAAGCGTAAATACACTTATACATACACTGCTTCTGACACAACTATAAGGACTGTATCCCCCCATACAATAATAACATATGGACTGTCCTCACACTCACACACATACCATGGACTGTACCCCTCACACACATACACAATCTATATACAATCTGAATATAATCTTTAAATCTGTAAATCTTATCTGCCATTATTTATCTTGTATTATAAACCCACTAATACACATATATAATCCTTTTCCTAACATTCGTGTATATTCTGTATAATCTGTGCATGTACTGTAGCTTCCATATTAATTTTATATTTATACACAACTTTTTACAGTCCCTAACTATTACTATTTGCTTGTTCATACACCTGTAATAATATTTATTTCTAGATCGTTTTTGCGGGGCTGAATGTAGGTAGTTTTAATCTCAGTCTTTTTATTTAGCTCAGACACTGAAGAAAAAAAAAACAACTTTATTTAATAATATTAAGTGGTTAGGCTTTTGACTTAGAGCTAATTTTTTGAAGATGTTGCATAAACTGTAAACTGATCTGTCAGTTTTGGTTCTCCCCTTCTGTTTGAGTCAGGATTTCAATGGTTTATTAAACAATGATTCTAACAGAGCAGCACCCTTTAACAAAATTCCCCTTTTTATTCTGGGTGGAGGATATTTTTGGAAAAAGGAATCCTCATGTCATACATTATGTTTCCATGTATCCATTTAACACATTTCCATTTCACAGATAATCTCTTATATTTATATACATGCACTGGGAAAACGATCTAGAAATAAGTACAAATTTCTTAAATAAAGTGTATTTACTGTACTCTTAATTTGAATAGGTAAATGGGATAGTTTGCCAATGGAATGAGTATCTTTACTCTTAAAATAAGATAATTAGATAATATTCACTTGAAATAAGAAAATCCAGTTGTGTATTCTTATTTTAGATCTAAATTTTCTTGCTCCATTCACAAAATGTCTCTTTTATCTCCTCAATTCAAGAACAAATGCACTTATTTTAAGAAAAAATGATTTATCTAGATTTTGATGTTTTCCAGTGCAACAACACGTCACCACCTCCAAATTGTAAAGTTATTGGCATAAAACATTATTATTAATCATTGGATATATGTATTATTATGTAAACAGCCTTAAAATTACCTACAAATTTTGAATAAAATATTAATCTTCTCGCTAATTTAAGCCACTAAAAGTTTTTTTAATATTTGTTTTCCTTTCTCCATGTGCTTCAGGCTTAAACCAGCAATAGAGCGACATCCCCGACTACAAGAGGATCCCTCATATCACCACTGCCATTTCACAAGAGCTCACCTTTGGAGCGGGACTTTGAACAGAGAAGAGCATTTAAAACAAAATATACGGCCACAGCAGAAACAACCCAGCAGCAGTCATGTTTTACAACGGAGGAAAAAAAAGACAAAAAAAAAAAAAAAAGAGTACTGACACTTCCTACTCTTTCATATCTACATTCCTCGATATCATGTGAATTTTTACAGTGTTGACTCCTGCTCAGAGTATATTTGATAGAAATGGAAAGAGCAAAGTGAATCTGAAAGGAAAGGAGATGAGGAAAAGGACTTAAGGGAGTTTGAATGGTTTGAATTTGGTACGTTGTTATGAAAAAGGAGCAGAGAAAATGACAGAGGGAGGAGAAAAATGAAAGGAAAGAACCGAGCCTGAGGAGAGCCCTAGCATTGTAGAGGTAAACAGTTATATCCTTAAAAGCAAAACAAAAAAAAATCTATCTGGGTTCACTGTGTTCCTGTTTTTTATGAACACAAAAGGAAGCGACACTGCTTTTACATCAGGAGTGAGCAGCAGGTTATCAGGGTTATGGAACCAGTACGTAGGGATCTGGGGAGAGGCTAGTGACGTTTCATCCTCACACAGCATCACAGGAGGAACAAAATCCTGAGTGAGTTTCTGTTTGCTTCAGCCCGTATGAAGCCGTCGGCTTCGCTCACTGCCGCCGGCTTTCTTTCAGTGTGAACTCTCAGGTTGTGTGTGGCGGTGCAGGTTTCGGCTGTTCGCTGGTCCTCTGTGTTGTGTATCAAAGAGGATTTATGGCATTATGTTTATAAATGATGTGTTTCTAAAAAGTGTTAAAGAAATGGGGTTGGTCTAAAAGCATTTACGTTGGATTTTTTTTTTCATAAAAAAAAAATAAAAGAAAAAAAAAAAAAACCAAAGAAAAAAAAAAAAAAAAAAAGAAAAATCTGATTCCTTACTTGTATATCGATATCACCTTGTTTGGAAAGCACATTTCATCTGATGAAGGCTCACTGTTGTTTGTAAACCAGAAAAATAACCGTCTTGCATAATTTAAACGTGTGTCAAATGTCGTCGAGCCAAACCGGCGATCACCTATTTATATTTTGTATTTGTGGAAAAGGTCACAGAGACGAAGGTGTATCCGTTTTGTTCTTCATCACGCAGGTGGATCCGTGTTTGTGGCAGCTCCTGTCTATTCAAAACAGGAACAACAGGAGACTTTTAATTTAAAGAAGAAGAAAACTATACATATATATATCTTCCTCATGCGTTTGGGTGTTTCTATTACCATCACCCCCACCTTGTCTGCAGCATCTTCAAGGAGATGATCCAGTTGTTGGCATGCAGATCTTTCTACTCTATTCTGTTCTTTTCAAGTGCCAGTTTTTCTTTGTGAGGTCATTTGGATGTTACTTAACCCACTCGTGCAGAAAGAGGGTTGCTAACGGCTAGAGACAAAAGGACAGTGTGTAAATTAAAGATGGGTCATATATAAATATATATATATTTTTTACGGTTGAGATGCAGAATCGTGTTGCCATTACGGAGAATCGAACCCGATCTGATTTCATGTGTCAGTCGAGGCGAACGGCATGTGCCTGCGTTCAAGTCTGCTTTTATTTTGGTTTTTGTTTGTGACGTATGTGACTTTGTAAAGCTTGCATCTTTTACAGTGTTTACAAAGGTGTACGTTGTGGTAAAAAAAAACAAACTATTAAAATAATTGTTTCTGTATGTTAAAACCCAAACAAACAAACAAAAAAAAAAACCTCCCAACTGTTCATAACCCAAACGACCCTTATGTGCGTCCTCAGACACGGGGGCTTCTCATTGGATGAAGACCCAGGTGACTGTCTCATTCTTGAATGCACTACCACAACCAAAGGATCAGGAGTCGGACTCGTGGTTTCTAAAGTAATAAAAGGCTTCTGGGTTATGTGAATGTGCGGCCTGTTGTTCATTTACAGAACATAGAGCTGTAAGACCCACAGAGACACCAGGAATCAAACAGACCTACCTGTGTAGATACAACAGATTCCAGACCGCCAAACTACAGTAACTGAGTAGCAGATGTGTTTGTACCTATCATGTGCCTTAATCTTTTCCATGCTAGATAAAGATAACTGTGTTTTATATAAATCCATTCCACATCTTCCCCCTTCCTTCCCTGTATCAGCCCCCCCTCCCACCATCCAGCTCATCCATTCATCCATCCAGGCCCCTCTCCCCTGGCTGTCCCCCATCCTAAGTAGTTTAGACTGTTGGCGGGTTGCTGCCTTGTATTACATTGTACTATAAACTTTTAATGAGTTAGAGCGCATATGACAAATGGATTTGATTTCCTAGAAGTAAAGCTGTTGGAGCTTTCGTAGCGAGCAGAAGCGATGCCGGAGTGACAGAATGTATTATGTTAATTTTACTAATACCCAGAGGCAAATATTACGCTTGTTAAACATACTGGAAAAATACTGGTTTGTAGAGTATAAATTTGGTGTGTTTTCAATAAATCATGCCTGGAAATGAAGGGTTGCTTGGCTCCATCTTATATTTGCTTACACTGCAATCTAATCTGTCTTTTTTTTTTTTTAACTAGGGTGAACATATCCCTTATTTCCTCTATGGTTTATAAACAAAAAATAACATAAAGATGTGATTTCCTACATTGCTTAAGTGATTAGCTTTGCAATTGGTTAAACTGTGTGAGTGAAAAGTTTATCATGCCTTTATTAAAGAGGGACAAGAAGAAAGCTTGTTTGCAGTTTGTCTGAAGCCATGTAGGCGACACAGTGACAGCAGGAATGAAGAAGATGCTGTGGTTAGATGAGACAAAATACAAAGAAGGGCTTAACCATAAACAAACACCAAGGTATAAAATGGAGGGAATGAGAATAGAAAAAAAAGGGTGTTCATGTGTTCCTGTAGCTCTGCTGAATTCTAGATTCCTAAAGGCGACAAGAACATGTGGTAAGAGTTAAATATTTACGTTCACACAGATGCTCTTCACTCAAACTGATCTTAGAATAAAAATATTTTGTGTCCAGACGTATAAAGCTGGTAGAGACATGTTAAAGACCTGCAGCTTTACAGACATGCACTAGTTAGTTTATCACCTGTAATCAACGATTTAAGGTCACATTTACAACATCACAAAAATGTAAAAAAGTTTAAGACATAAAAATGCTTTAACTTGCCACTATACATAGATTAAATGGTATGAAATAATGCTGCATTAGCTGATCACTAGTGTCATGGGCGGTTCTATACAAAGGCCAGTAGAGGGCAGGGCCCCTGTAGTACTGTTCTTGGCCCCTGGTTTGGCCCCTGTACTGAAAATATAGCACCTAAATGTGCTGGCATAGAAACTGTAATTAGTTTGTCTTTTGTACTGCTTTTCCCTTTTATAAAATAAGATGTTACACTTTCAGCTTCAGTCATATTAGAAGCAAAACTTAGGAAGTGTTGTTTTATGACAGAAAAAAGAAATGTACTCAATTTTTGAAGAAAAATCGAATGCAAGTTTTTTGGTTTTTGTTTATCACTAACAATTAAAAAAGAGGCACTGCTTTTCTGGAGGAAAACACGTTTAATGATTGCGTTCCTTTAATGTAGTCTGGTAAATGTAACCATGTGAATTCTACTTTTGGTCATTATTTATAGAATAAAACCATTACCTCGAGATATTAGGAAGCCATCTGGAAAGCTAGATATATTTAATAAATATATGAGATATATCGTATGAATAAATCGAATGCAACTACAATATGATTTTTTTTAAAACAGGTCTTACTAAAGAGGAGGATCGTTTTTAGTTATTTACACTGTGATCAATAGTCAATCAATCAATGTATTAGAAAATACATAAAAATCAGGAGTCATTTCATAAGTTATCTTTAAAAGCAAAGGGTTTTTTAATAGTACTTATTAGGTAAATGTGTGTATTGAGGTAAAAACATTAATTTTCCCAGAATTTCATCGATATGCACACTCCAGCTCGGTAGGTGGCGGTAAATGCATTTTAACGCCTGTTATACTTTAAAAGAATAAGACGAACAGCACAATTATTTTCATTTACATGTCGTTTATTCAAATTATAATAATACTATCAAACTAATTTTACCAATAATAGTCTAAAGGAATTGCAATAAAATTTGCAACTTTTCTTCTATAAATTCAAGAAAAGTTTGGAGAATTAGTAGTAAGGAATTTTACTCAGGCGATTCCGTAAACAGACTGCTCCGGTCAGGGGTCCTTTGGCAATAACATCATGGCGGCCCTCTGCAGAGGGAGACATAAGTGGAGAAGGCTGAAGTGTTTGCAGGTTTTTACCAGAAACATTACAGGTTAGTGATATTTTTATTGTTTTAAAGCGTTTCTGTGTAGAGCTCATGCACAAAATTAACGTTTACGTTAAAAAGGCAGACAGGATAAACGGCTCCGATAGCTTTTGTAACTTCATCTGACTTTACGCAATCATTTCATTCTATTAAAAACTCGTCTTTCCGAAAAAATAAAAACGTTTTAAACTCTATTACCTGAGTTTATTGGCCTTGCAATGGGAGAAACGTTGGGAAATTCAGTTTATGTCTCTGCCTTTTTTCTCCGAGAAGTTTGGGATAATTTTGTTGTCAGAATTATGTTTAGGTGTTTATTATGGGAAATTTAGGCCTCTTCCCCAAGCTTTAATACATGCTCAATGTCTGTAGAATCGCTAAGGCTTATCTAAGGTTTGAAATGTCCCCCCTTTTTCATGTGCTACGCACAAAATTGTATATATTTTTAATTATGTATTCGCTAAAAGATATTAACATATGGGGGCTGACAAGCAAACACCCTGTAGTTGTTACAGACAACGCTGCAGATATGGTTTGTGCATTGAAGATAATGCAGCTCATGCATGTCTGCTGTGTCATGTCTGCTTGCTCGTGTGAGACTTCACTTTTTCACGTTTCACAAACAAGTTTGCACTTTTGAGACAGTTTGTTCACATCTCAAGTTTAAACTGTCCGATTTACAAAATTGCACTTTGTGTTTAATGTGACAGGAAAAAAATAAATACATGAGTATTTCGAAACACGGTGAAACCACTTTCATTATTGTAAAAACAGATCGAATCGAAATTAATCGATTTAGGACTGTATGAATCAAAATCGAATCTATTCACAACTTTGCCGAAAATACCCAGCCCTAGTTGTCATATATTTGATTCCAAAAGTTTGCGTTTTATCTATAGTGTTCATATTAATTGGGATATTTGCTAGTTTAGAAAATATTCCATCCTTAGTTCATTTTCTGACATGGGGCAGCTTGGAGACATTTTCAAAGACATACAGTAGTGAAAATGTGTAAAATTATCCATCTTATAGGGAAATATGACTATGACTTGGTGGTCATTGGTGGTGGTTCTGGAGGCCTGGCCTGCTCTAAAGAAGGTGAGCTCTCTTTGCCTGTTTATTCCTGTTTATTTATTTGTCAGGTTTCTGTCTAACTGCTCTCATTTTGCACAGCGGCACAGCTGGGACAGAAAGTGGCTGTTCTAGATTATGTGGAACCGTCTGCTAAAGGTAAAATACAGTGTTGATGATAATATCATCATCTGTAATATGGCCTTTATAGATCTATGTTCTCTGAAAGCAGTTAATGCTCTGTCTAACAGGAACCAAGTGGGGTCTCGGTGGAACGTGCGTCAATGTTGGCTGCATTCCCAAAAAGCTCATGCATCAGGCTGCTCTCCTTGGTACAGCAGTCAAAGATGCAAAGAAATACGGCTGGCAGATGCCAGAGACGGTCAACCATGATTGGTAACCACAGTTTATCAATGGAGTGAAAGTGTATAAATATATATATATATATATAGTTTTTTTTTTTTTTTTTTTTAATTTATTTGTAGGACTTTTTTCCAAAAGGTCATTAGAACACACTTTTTAGACATATTCTCCTACTAATCACTACTTTTGTTATGTTTTGTAATATTTCTGAGCACTTTATCAGGTGGTTTATTCATTTTATTCTTCATGTGTGTTAGAGTAAAACTGTTAGCTATCTATCTGTTATATAACAGCACCATCTAGTGGTGAGTTGAGGAAAAAAGCCAGTCTACCTAAAGATTTTCTTTTCCTCATGACAAATTGAAACTGGCTAGAATAGATGTTGACATAGAAACTTGTTAAATGTGACATTTATTGTTAATAACTCTGGGATCTTCTTGCAGGGCGATGATGGCAGAGGCCATTCAGAACCATGTCAGATCTTTAAACTGGGGCCACAGGGTCCAGCTTCAGGACAAGTAAGTGACCACAGAGGCTCTGGCTTATATATAAACGTTGGAGTTTTTTTCCTCCAAACTAAGAACAAAACTGTTTATTAGAGCTGCTAGAGGTATCAAATTTTCTTTTCAAAGGGCTACTTTTTTTGCATTTTCAATTGGGATACACATTTTAAGTGCCATAGAATAATAATTTGCTGCTAATACTGGACTGGAGTTGACTTTGTAATAATCAAACATCTCAACTGAGATCCTGAAAGAGGTGAAGATGTTTGTAAAACAAGAAAGGAAAAGAGTAAGATAGAAGATCTTTTTTTCAGAAAGATATGAGATCAGCTTTTGAATTTTATATTTGTATCTTTTTTTTTTTTTATTAAAAAAAGCCAAAGGACAATGGCTTTACAAAAAGAAATCCAACATATAGCTCTAGGATATTTTGCCAGATTGAGGTATATCTGTCTCTATGATATATTGGTAATTAGTGATTCCCCAACAGGTACTGCTGGGACAGAAGCCTCCAGGTGTTTTCCTTTGAGAATTTATTTCATGGCCTGGACTTTTGAGGTTTGCATAAGGATGTCGACATCCTTGGTTCAACATGTTTCAAGGGGATGATTCCAGGAGCTGAAAAGAAAAAAAAAACACTAATGAAAATGTATTCATTCTTCCTGTTTTTGCCAGAAAAGACAGACCGGCCTTCACTTGTAGAAAACACAGTTTCCTTTAGTAAATCTCCTTTCATCAATATTCTTCTTCATTTTATTTGTTAATGCATCACTAATCCTGGTTAGAGTTAAGGTGTCTTCACAGCGTCCACCGTCAAGAGGAGTTGTTGTCGGCGCTTTTATTGTTCAGAATCAGCAGTTTGCAAGCATTGTTCAATGGATTTGATGTCTTTCATGCCTCCAACATCACTTCACTCTTTAGGAGCTCCAGGTTAATTTGCGTCAATGCTTTTCAAGGAACTGTGATTCGGTTTTCTTTGGGTTTGCTTTAGGCTTTCCACACACAGCTGCAGGACTGCTCAGCAGCAAAAGCCACGTGTTAATAGAGTGGCTGCTGGAAATAACCTCTCCAGTCCAATGAGATTGAGGATTCTTGTGCATCGTTTTTCTTCTCATAACAAAAATGAGATAAAATAAAGGGATTATTCAGGCAAACACTGTTGGTAGGCTTTTGTGTGTCTGAATTTTCCATCATGGTGTAATGGAGCACTTATGACATGTTCTGTGTTTTGCAGGAAAGTGAAATATCTGAACGTCAAAGGCAGCCTGCTGGATGAACACACAGTGAGAGGTCTAAGCAAAGCAGGAAAGGAGGTGTGCTGTTTTTAAATAAGAGTCTTGAAAAAGAACTTGGGTTCAAATTTATTGACCCAACCTAAACAGATCAGCATTTCTGCAGAGGAATGCAGATTCTGGAGGCTGCATCAGCTCCCACTGAGAACATGATCATTTCTATTAGCACGTAATCCAGTGGATGCTGCATCTAAACCTTCCTTGAACGTTTTGGACAACCTTGATTCATCAAGCTTGTCTAAAAACAAAGAATTGCAATTTTCCGTAAGCCATTACCTGATCTGGATTCATCTAAAAAAAAAAAAAAATTCATATGACGCCAACTATTAACACAGAAGATTTATTAGATTTTCTCAAACTGATTTCCTAAAAATAATCCTAAGTATTCACATACCAAATGCTAAATAAATATTACCACTTTTCACTGAACTCAACTCTGTTTTTTTGTGTAAAACCCAAACCCAACTTTGACCCTATGCAAACATTTTATAGAGTTCACCGTTCACATACTAAACTAAATCATCTAAAGTCCTGGATTTTTTTTTTTTGTTAAAATCTGTGTCCATTTTGGACCGGAAACACCAATTGAGCGACTGGTTCTTGTTTTCTGGTAGCTTTTAATGTTTAGTTTTATTTTAAGTTTAGTAGTGTTTTTTATTTTGATATTTCATCTGTGGGAATACAAGTTTAGAATTTACAGTTCTACAAAAACATGAGTGCAAATAACAAGTTTACAAATCCCAGTGAAGGTGTTCTACTCCTTACCAGGTGGTGGCAGTAATGCTCCTGAAGGTTGTTTGCCAACTGCTATTAAATAATAAGAGGAGGAAATTATACTTATGTCTTTGCTGAAATGTTTTCAAAGCAGGAATAAAATGGGTGTGTTCAAATTCAAAGGCTTTAACCTCTGAAATCCGTGAAAGTAAGGAGGCCGGAAGAGATTTGGTTATGGAAAATAGGTCCAGCCTTCTCCAGCTTTCACCTCCTGTACACTCTGTTGCCTAGCAACTTAGATTTTTTTTACACACAAAGCAGGCAGAGAATGAGTGCCAAGCATCTCACTAATGTTTTATGTGCTAATAACATTGTTGAGAAGCTTCAGTAGCAGTATCGTCAAGAATATCAGATTATTGTCCCCACACTGCAGATATGTTGAAATCTGTGCTTGAATGTCAGACAAAATTATGTGCACAGGGACAGATAAAAACATTTCAATAAACAAATTACCCGCCACACATCTGACTCAATAACCGTTTAACAACTATTTTTATTAATTTCAGATGGAACTATTCATATGCTTGTATTATATTAAACTGCACTTCCAATATTCACCATCTGTTCGGCACCATTTCCCTTTTTCCTCCTTGGACTCGCATGAATCATGGGATACCCAAGCCTACGTCAGATACACCGGACCTGTCCTTTAAAGTGGGCAAAAAGAAGGCTGCATTTGTCGGCCGCCTAACGAGGAGTCTTCCAATCCTTACAGGCCTCGGCGCCGCGCTACGACATAATCGGTCAACAAATTTGGCCTTTAGAGGAAAAAGCCCCTAAAATCAAACTCAGCCGTTGATGGATATTCAATGGTTCTTTTTTCATCTTCTTCCACTGATAAAGGTGGTTGGCAAACAACTTTTAGGTGCATTAGTGTCACCAACTGGTGAGGAGTGTAACAGCACCATGTAAGGTTGTAGATCTGTACTGTGATTTGTGATTTGTACTGTAGTTGCAACCAGATAATCTAATGTCCGATTTATCTTTGAATTGACAAAAAAACCCAATATTTAACGTTATCTGTTTTTATTGGAGACTTTTTTTAACATTTCGTTGTTCCTTAAGGCCACAAGAAGCTGAGCACTGAAGTTAAGAGGAATCAGATTCTTTGCTCTGAGAGTCGTCTGTTTTCTTGGCTCCTTTTAAAAGTTTTAAATAGAAAACATCTTCATGAGGACGGTATTAGAGTGGAGGTATTACTGTGGCCCAATACTCTGTAAATTTTACATTTCTGATGTTCCTAAAAAAACCCGTCATCTTTCACAGCAGAGCTAAAAGACCGGTATTCCTCACTACTCCTGTCTAGATTACTAAACGGTCGACATTGTTCATTTCTTTTAAAGTTGGAAGCAAAGCTCCCAGGATACTTTGCCTCCTGTCTGCGTTGTTTGGCTGATTTCACAGCGTCTGTCATCACCTTCACAGAGAACTCTGCAGAGACCACTCTGTTTCATTCCACATTTCCTTGCTGTTTTTGAATATGAACAAAAGCCATTACATCACATTTCCCTCTCCTTTCCTGCAGACAATCCTGACCGCCAAGAACATAGTGATCGCCACAGGTGGACGACCCAAGTACCCCACACAAGTAAATAAAATTTTTTACCAAAAAACTCCTCTCTTTTATTTTTTTCTATATTATATCTATATTTTATTTTGTTGTGTTTATTAGTTTGGTTTGTTCTGATTTATTGCTGCAGATCCCTGGAGCAGTGGAGCACGGCATCACCAGCGATGACATTTTCTGGCTCAAGAGTTCTCCTGGAAAAACGTGAGCATGCTTTCTTTCATGCTTGTGTTGCAGTAAACTCTTTGACTTACTGTAAGGAGCGTTTGGAGCACGGTGGAAAACGGAACATCCGACCCTAAGACTTGGAGTCCTACCTTCTACCCTCAGCACCGCTTTGCTCGCTGACTCTGCACATCCCACTATCATACAGCCACAATCATTCATCAGGGGACGTGCAGTTTGTTGTTCTGCCTTCCTGTCAGCCTGTCTTCGCCTCATGATTCAGATTAGCAGCGTGCATCCTGACCTTTATAGAACGAGCCCTTTAATCCAGCCATTTAGCTGCTGTCATCACCCGGTTAATTGGGCCTTCCCTGACGTTTCCTCTTGGCACGTCACACGCACGCCGACTCGTGGTAGAGGTATACCTGGGCTGCGGAGGTTGTTTGCAACGTGATGAGAGATAAAAGGAAATGAGTATTTTCATATTTATGCTCTTTGTACGTCTAATTTGTCTGCACCTGGAGACAAGGAAGCAGCAAATGATTGATTTATTCCGATGCACCGTCTGTGACAAGTGCTTTCCTAAAAACACTTAAAGGAAGTAATCAGAGGTTTGTTATGGAGCTAAAAGAACCATGAGGATAAAGGGGGAAAAAAAGCATAAAATAGTTTTGTTTTATGACATAAAGATCTGGTTGTTATTGAAGAGTTTCAGGACAATTAATTTGGTCTAAATGCAGAATATTCATAAAGCAAAACGCTGCACAACACATTAAAAATTTCAACTTTGGTTAAACACGGTGGAGGCAGACTTATGCTGTGGGGATGTTTGACCAGAGCAATGGCTGGAAAGCTCATCAAAGATGATTCCGCTAATCTAAAAGGAGGACAAGCCTGGATGGTGCCTGAGCTGCAGACAAATGATGATGAGTCAGACTGATGAGGTGTCGCTCTCAGTTTTAGCTCTACACGTTATTAATCTGGGACTGATCCCATCGAATCTGTTCGAGGGAAGGAGGGACGTTTAGCAGAACCTTTCGAACTAATTCGGGCGAATCGACGCGACAGTTTGGAGGGTAACAAAGGAAAAAACAGCAAATAGAAACTTATGATGCTACACTTTTGTCCTACTTTTAAAGATGAAATCATGGATTCTGACAAAACAGATGTGATTCTTTTTATTTTTCCACCCAATATTTTGATTGTGGTTTTATTTAGGTCTCTCGATGCTCTAACCACAAGCATGTAGAAGTTTCACTCCAAGATTTCTTTCTTTTCATGAACTTGAAAGCTTGTCCTTTGTCACTGTTGTGTGGAATAGTTATCACCTACTCACTTGCATTGATCTTCATCCTTGCTGCAACTCTATCCTCTGTTTGTTGTTGTTTTTTGTTAACTCTTGATTGTACTGCAAATGTGACGCTAGCAGCTACATGTCCTCCTGCCTTAAACCGTAAGGTGATTGGCCAATCTGTTTAAGTCTGACTCGTATAATTAAAGCAGACTGCAAGAATTTAGCTTGTAGGCGAGGTTACCTGTCAAATGGTTCAGATCTGAGCATCTCCATGTGATAGAATAATCCACCCTGTCTATACCGCGCTATATTGACGTTTTTAAATGTTTAATGTTACCCTAAATTTAAACGCACCTCTACCAGGGTTGTGGAAATATTTTTCTTTTTTTTTTTTTTCCTCATGAAAATATCATATCAATCAAATGATATCACCTGTTATCATGATAATTATATATGAAAACATTTGCCTTCACAATGCTCCAAGGTTGTTGGTTCCAGCAATCTGTTTGTAAAAATAACACCAAACTGTATCTTCCAAAGAGTATCTCCTCATTGGGGTGCAGAGGTGGTTTTAGACCAAAGTTTACCAAGTTTATCATTATTTTTAATGGGCTAAAGAATAAAACACACTAAGACCTAAACAGGGCAATAATGAATCATTCAATATATAAGTGAGCCACTTGCAAATCTGGAGCTGCAGTTTGCAGGCCGCTGACCTAAATTTATAATAAAGTAAAACTATAAAAAATAATTTTTATCCACTGATTAAAAAAAAGAAGAAGTTTATGTTCCAGTGCAAATCATCATACAAAACTGAATGATAATTAAACGTTGTGTTCAGCAGAAGGGAAGGACTAGTTCAACAGAGACAAAGGCCCCCGTTGGTCCCCATCTAGCAATGCCCATGTTGGGATGTAATCTATCATTTTTATTCAGCCAAGAAGTCAGAAATTTAAAAATAGAAAACTTGCTTGTTTTCAGCTCTATATTAGCTGGATATTACGACAAACTGCAAAGTTAATCTGGCTATTCTGTAGCTCACAGTTCACACAAAACGAACAACACATGTTATAAATCACACATGCTGCTCTGATATAAGCCCAAAGAGTGGAATCTAGACAGCAGCATTTATTATTCCTGGTAAGGAAAAGCTTTTTTAAACATTACTTGCTATGGTTTGTTATGCAACTGAGTATTGAGATGTCTATCACCAAAAAAATAGGAGTATTACTTTTTAAAATGCATCAACTTAAAACCATGTGGGGTATAAGATGTCGCTTTAATAGACCATGCTCTTTGGAAATGTCCTAATTTAGGTGCAAACTAAAACCAAACGGGTTGTAACTGGATAAAGTCACTCCTAAATCTTACTGAGAAACTATTGGAAGACATTAAAATCACTGTTCAGAGACTCTCCATCTTATCTGACTTAGGTTGAGTTGTTTTGTAAAGATGAATGAGCCAAAACTCTATAGAGGTACTTTTAACAGACACTGTATTACTTATAAATCATAGAAAACTCTTTAAGCATCACTGTACCTCCAGCTTTACCTCAGGGGAGACATTTTTATACCACTTGAGCAAAGGAAGTGCTTTTGATGTAAAGGTTTGGAGGTTGGGGGGGTGCCCTACCTCCCTGCAGGCGGAGGTGGCCTCAGCAGGGTTTCAGCCGCACATCCCTCTATAAAGAATCTTAAACACGAAGAGAAGCTGTAGCTGTTTTGGGCTGTCAAACCATCATCCACGCAGGTGAGGTCCAAGGAGTTGTTTCTGCAGGCAGGGTGGGTGTGGGAGGTTACAGGTGAGCGATGGATGTCTAATGATCCCTCAAGCGCTCTCACACACTCACAGTTTAGTGACAGATTCAGCCTTGGGGCTGAAGTCCAGAATTGGCTTCTATCATCATGAGAAAACCCAAAGCGTGTGCCAAGAGGAAGTGGTCTAACCGTAGACCATGTGGTTTGATGAAAATAAATATTTCAAAAATATTTATTCCTAAAATATTTAGCGGTTCTTAAAGAAGGCAACAAATGTCTCAGAATCTGCCAGCTTGGTTTAAAATGCCTACATGTAACGCATCTTTGCACATCAGAAGAGTAGATGGGGTCATTTAAACGGTTATCATTGTGATGAATATGACAGCATTGTAACAAAGGCTTAAAAAGGAAGAAAAATGTTATGTATTTTTGAAGGGATTATTGTTATTTATAATAAAAACAGAGAAAAACAACAATTGTTTTACTTTATTAGTTATAAATCCTATTTGAAAGTTTATTTTGATACGTGTATGTAAGCAAAAACACAAGAGGATCTTCAAAAATTTAAACCAAGGGGTGTTGAATGGCACTTCACATAGGTAACCTATGTCACCACCTTTGTTTCATTGAAGAAACAACTTAAGCAATGGCTAATTGGTAACCAGATTTGTAATCACTAAAGTTTACGTTAGACACTTTAAAGTGTAGAATCTGGCACAAAGCACTTAGCAGTAACTACCTCATTTAATACAATAAACCAGGGGTAACCAATAAAAAATCAGTGGGGTCTGAATAAAGAAAATCAATAACAGTAAAGGTCCAGAGATATTTTTAATAATAATCTGTCACTTTAAACAGAATTTAACACTGAAATTAAACGAGGTGTTTATGCATCCATGTTATAAATTGAATTTTTTTTTTTTTTAAGTAGAAAACAACAATCGTTTAGTTTGGTATATAGACAAGTTCCTGCTCCACATATTTTATTAAACACCTGAACTGATCGTGTTTTTTTTTCCTTTCTTTTTTATAGCTTAATGAGAGCAGTGTGGTTTAGGCTGCCCTGCAAGGCTTTAAACCTGGGTTTGAATGGAGACAAAGCCATTCTAAAGCACATATCAAGGTGCTGATTTTGAGCCTGGATCAATATTTATTTTTGATTATGTTCATGGTGGAGAATCCTGCTTCACAGCAGCAGGTTGAGTCAAACATAATCAAAATGTGCAGGGTCATCTCTAAGCACAACATTTCACTTTTCTGTCACCAGTTCACCTAATTTCTTCCAGCAGTCCACAATTTCCTTCACTTTTTCTCATCGTCTTCTCCTTCTTTCCCATCACCTGGCTTTCCACAGGTTTGCTCCGAGGGCTTTACCATATTAACAGAAGCGGCACAAGTGAAATTAGACATTGCCATCGGACATGATGCGGTTTATAAATGTTATAAATCAGGTTGGCTCCGGATCCGGACCGCGGTCCGCCAATCCATGACCTCTGCAATACACCTTAGTAGCAAAGCAATTTAGCATTCTTTACCTCAATATCCAAAGTCCAGTCCCTTTTACTGTCTGTTGTGTCATATCTGATTTTTTTGTGTCTTTTGTCCTTGTTACATGCATGCATTTTATCTTTGGGCCATATTTCTTGTTACAAATGTTACATATGGTACCATATGTTTCTGGTTTTTCCTGCTGCCCCTATCCTACGGGACTATGGATGGAAACTAGCCTTGTGCTAAATCCAAGTGTATTTACAGCTCCTGCTGTTCATTAATACTTGCTGTCCCTTTTAAATAAATAAATAAATCACAGTGCTATGAAAAAAAGTAAAATGTGAAATTCTGAAAAAGAAAAAAACTAAAGTAAATAATTCTGAATGGCAGAATTAGATGTTAACTGATCCTAGTTGTTTTCTATAATAGGACATTAAAAAAAGGCACACCAGGTTTTTGCTCCAGATCTTTTTAAATCCAGAACAAAACTGAAAACCTGCTTTATCCGCATTAAAGTGTCAAACTATTTCTCTCTAGACCTCATTTTACATTTTAAACTCAGCTGTTAGACAATATTTTGATTGGTTGGTTTAATGCGTACAATAATTAGAAAAATAATTTTGTTTATTTATTTTTATATATCTTGTTTTTAAATCCTATTTTCTTCCCTTGTCCAGTCAATCAAGGACGAATATTTTTATGGATAATTTCTGACAATAAACATTGATTGAGAAGACAAGAAAATAAAAAACAAACTTTGTGTCATGTTTTAGTTTGGTTTCCTTGCGTTTTACACTCCATCTATGCTAATTTCACACCAAAAATAGGGGAAAAAATGAAAAACGTTTCATCAGTGGAATAAAAAGCAGTTTGACCTTGGGCTAGCCTCAGGCTAAAGCAACAATGTCGCCCTTCTTTGCTGATGGATACATTAGAATCTCATATTGCAGAGCTTATCAGTGACGGGGCTGTTTGAAAAGCTTCCCAAGGTTGACCAGAGCTGGGACTCATCCGTCCTCAGCGAGGATCAGTCACTCTGCAAACCCAGACAGTTTTACAGTGTCTCCACTTTTGGACGATCCTATCCTGACTGCCTCCCTTTAATTGGCTGCAAACATACAGATTTTTAACGAATTCCTGAATAAATATCTTCACATCCCTCTATAGACTATAAATTCTAGCAGAGAGGTGTGTGTTGCAGATGTACTGGTCTGAGAAACTAAAAAAAGAGCTGGTTGAGTGAGACTTTTCTCTGCGATGACAGAAAATCAAAGCTCTTTGTCTGGTCCTTTTGTTTAGCCTCTTCTCAGTCCATGCTAAGTGAAGCAGACATGGAGAAAGCCGGGGTCAGAGCTTTCAGTGGCTGGAGTTAACATGGACAGGGCCAGAAAGGAAAGGGGAGTCTGGTTTGGTTCTTAAGAGCAAAGTGAGAAAACCCATGCAGGTGACGGACTTCACTCAGCAGGCTTATGTGAGGATTTAAGCCCTAAACATGACACATGTCATCTGCAGGGATCAGGCTAAAATGCTCCAAATTAGGCTTCCTGAGCACCGCAGATGATTCTGCTGGATTATAGGAGTGATTCACCCAGACCACACACGTCAGCCTGTAGGTTTGGCTGTCTAACATGTCCTTCACACCTTTAGGTTTAGGACGCCTTGTTAATTCATCACTTCTCTAACTCCAGGATTTGGATGAAGACAGATGCAAGTTGGGGTTAATGTTGTTTTATTTGGCTAAAGTGCACCAAGGAGGGCTGAAATGTATCTTGTTGTGTTTGTGTTCTTTCTAATAACTCTGTTTTTGTGTTTCAGACTGGTGGTTGGAGCCAGCTGTATCCTTCCTCTGCCCCTGGGTCACGCTGCCAGTCTTCAACAGAAATGTTGATCATAGTGTCATTAAGATAAAATAAATACAAGGATTACTACAACAAATTATTAATCTTAACTACTAATAGATCTATTGTTATTAAGGCTGATACCAATTAATCCTTTTAAGCTCTGATACATACTTCTGATATTATTTGGCTGATTCTTAGAGCTAATGGTGCTTTTTTGACTCTATTCACATGATAAAAGGATTAAATGATAAATACTGAACAATTTTGGACAACATACGGTAAACACATTTAGTAACAAATTGAACACAGACAATAGATAGCCAATGGATAGAGCACCAATGCATGACATTTATGATTACGATGCATTACTGCTGAATGCACCCAGAGTTTTTTTGCGGGTTCCTTCTTTTGATTATGTTTTTGCACCCGCCAATCTCTGAACCCACTACAGCTATATCAAAAATTGAACAAAGAAAATTCTATTAATTTCTATGTTTCATGGTTACAACCCCATGGAGAAAAATTATGGTAGGACTTTGGTTCTCTGTGTCATTATTATTTCACCAACTGAAGATCAAAATAAGCAGTAGAGATTAAATGAAGACTAATATTAATCACATAAAATGAGTAATATAGAAACTAGAGATGGACCAATATTTCGGCTGGGTTTTTTTTTAGGACTTTGATTCTCTCTGTTTAGAAACTCTGAATCTTCTCTGTTGGCTGGAGCCTCTTCTGGACCCAAACTAACCACAGCGCTTGTTTAGAGCTTCCCTCTGAGGTTCTAGATGTTTGCTGGCAAACTTTAAACAGGCCTAAATGTGCCTTTTGTTACAACTGTATACATAACAGGTTAAGGTCGGGATTAGGGTTCCTGGAACTGATTGGTTGATCTTGTCTATGCAAAAGCAAACATGTTCTAATTTCTCCCAGTATATTTAAATGTGATCATTTTAAAAATTTATTTTCAAATCAAAACCAAAGACTCTGCTGATATCCTTAGCCTGGCTTAATGCAGATGTTGCCCTGGAGTGTGCCGGCTTCCTAACAGGCATCGGCCTGGACGCCACTGTGATGGTTCGTAGCATCGCCCTTCGTGGTTTCGATCAGGTATGTCTCAAGTCTACACTATCCGAAGATGTTAAGTGATGTTTTTGTTTGGTTTATACTGTTTTTTTGTTTTTTTTTCACAGCAAATGGCAGGTCTTGTAACAGATTATATGGAGGCTTATGGTACCAAATTTATTTGGAGATCTTTGCCGAAAAGCGTGGATAAGCTCTCCTCAGGGGCCCTGCAGGTGACATGGAAGGACACAGAGACCGGCAGCGAGCACAAAGACACCTATGACTCTGTGTTATGGGCAGTGGGTGAGTTCTTCTTCTTTTGGTGTTAGGCTTCTATTTTAAAGTGGGAAACTAAGTTTTTATATTAAAAACACTGAATTGTTCCCTGACAATCTACATGCCCAGCACTGACAAAGTTAATAATAATTTTTAAACATGAGAATTTGATCTTTGGGGGCCTCTGCGATGTGGCTTTGATTAGACCAATAATGTATGTGGAAAGTTCCTAATCAAATCCTTGTAGTTCTGCGCCTGTCAGTTATTTTTCTAATGAATTAATCTATAAAGATTATTTTTAATAATCTAGAGAAACCCTTTCTGTAAAATAATTCTTCCTGAATGAACATTTGGGATATAAAAAACAAAACTTTCATTGCGTATTTAAATAAATTTATACATCTTGGCAGAGTCAAATTGATTGTGGGGTTCCTCAGGGGTTCATTCTCGGACCACAGATTAAAAACAATATAATCTCTTAACATAAGTATGCTGGCAACACACACAACTTTATATCTCCTAATTAAATTAATCCAGTCCATTACGCTCATTAAGGCATGAAGATTTTTTATCTTCAACTGAAAAAGTTTATATTTTGTGGAGTTTGTTCTTAATTACTGCTGCAGGAAGGTTATTCTCTCTGCAAATGGCAGGTTTTAGAGTTTATGTACAATTACTCTCGGTAATTATTCGATTATCAAATGATATAAATAATCAATTAATTGTTTCACCCCTGTTTCTTTGTGGCTCTGACTGTTTAGCATTTTTGTCCTGTAGAAATATGTGGTTCTGCCCCAGTCTAGCATCTTCCAGGAGTTCCCTCTGTTCACCTCCATCCATATTCCCTTCACTTCCATTCAGCTCTTCCTGCTAAAGAAAAGCGTCCCCAAGGCATGATGCTTCCACCACCATGTTTCAGTTAGGGGATTCTGTTAGTCTGAGGCCACACAAAATGTTTCCCTGAAGTTCAAACAATTTGGTTTTCATCACCTGATCTGAGCTCCCGCTGCCTCATCTGTTTCTCTACCAGCTTTAAACAGGACAGTTTTCTTTCTGTGACTCCTTCATAAAGACACAAATTCTCATTTCATATTAATTGTGGTCTTTTCTGAAAATCAGACCTTCACCGAACAGCTGTTCTCCACTTAGTTGGAAAAAAAGTGAGTCTGTTTGCTTTTAGAAACATTAAAAGTTGGTTCATCTAGATTTAATTTATAGGTATTGGATTAAAGAGGGCTGATTACGAATGCAGAGGTGTCAGATTTCTGCTAACAACCATAAGAAAAACATAAATTTTTCTTCAGCCATATAAATACACCTCGCTTTGTGCAGTTTCATTAAATAAAATCTCCATTAAATGTGGAGAAGTCTGCCAGGTACCTCTGAAATAGAAGATTGGAGTGACTCTGTGGTCCTTTCCAATAGGTTCTTTGTCATCCCTTTTAAAAAATTGCTGTGTTAGCAGGTACTGGTTGAATCAAGCCTGAAAACAAAGTAATAAAGCCTGAGTGATGGGAATAGGCAGGGGAAGTGTTGGTCGCTTACTGCCGGCTCCCCGGTTGGAGCAGGGCAGGACGGAGCAGGATGCACCCAGGCGTGGGTCACCGCGTTCCCCTCTTTGTTCTTCTTCCTGCCCGTGCCAGCGCCGCGGAAACCGGCCTTGCATCTGTCATTGCCCGCTGTGCCTGCAGCCATCTTCCTCTCTCATCTGTTAGTTTTCTGTTATTTCTTCTTTTCCATCAGCCGAATGATTCACAATGGAAGGAACATCTGTCAGTCGGTCTATTTTTTTATTGAACCTATTTCCGAGAAAACCTGACTGTAAGGCTTTATTTTATAGCAGGCTGGAAGGGATGGTTGATGGGAATCCTTGCTCAGTATGTGTGAAAGGAGCTACGATTCTACAGGCTACTGAGATGGTTCTTCTTCCCGGTTGTGGCTACATCCCACATTGGGTTTCAGCAGAGAGAAACACAAGGATTTCTGTGAAATGCTGCAGAACCGCATACTTCCAGGATCCATAAATAATGTTTCTTTTGTGGCAGCTACTAGAAATATAAAAAAAAAATCAACAGTTGTTGGAGTCATTAGACATCTTTCTGTCTATAGATGGTGTAAAACTTTGACCTGCTGTTACCAGTTGAATTTGTTTCTGCTTGAAGAGTTTAGACTCGCACAACACTATTACAAGCTCTCTGGTAGAGATAGACCGATACATGGCTGTCTGACATTTTTTGGCCATCATTGGAATTTTTTTAAATTACATTGATAACGGACGCTCCGCTCATCCATAAGCCAAATTATTAGCTCATTGACAACATGTGAAGCACATGTATTGCTGCTCCCTCTATTTGCTATAAACTGTCCATATGTTGTTTTAATTATTGATTTTTTAAATTTTTATTATGAGTTGTGTAAGATTTGTTATCACTGTATCATTTTTATCACTTAAATAGAGGAAGAAAAACTAACATTGACTCTAAGAATATAGCCAAAAATATTTGGAACACATATCAGGGATCAGTTAGCCTGATGTTGAGATGAACGGTCAATCTCTTCTCTCTGGATCAGTTCATGTTTAAGTGATGAGTTGCATTTATGTCACCCATCCCGAGTTACAGCTCTGCACTATAAGCAGTAGATCATTATTTCACAACAATTATTTCACACAGCTGATATCATAAATTGGAAAAGTTAATAATGCTTATTTATGAATTGTAACTAAATTCACTGAGTTAATCACATTATATACATTAATTTCACACCTATTTCTGTTCATTGCCAGTCGGCCTCGGCAGATGGCCGCTCACACTGAGTCTGGTTCTGCTGGAGGTTCTTCCTGTTAAAAGGGAGTTTTTCCTCTCTACTGTCGCTACAAGCATGCTTAGTGTGAGGGATTGTATTAGTCAATGAGTTGATGCAATCAACTGGTTTTCCTTTGATAGAAAACTTTGAATCAGTTTGACTGTAGGATCTGGTGGACTGTAAAGTGCCTTGAGATGACATGTGTTGTAAATTGGTACTATAGAAATAAACTGAATTGAAACTGAATTGAATAGACTAAATTTACCAGTGGGGTCAGTGTTTTTTTTATTTTTTTTTCATAGGGGCACAGAGGAAAATAATACTAAACATACAGGAATAGACAAAAACAGGGCAAGAGCACATTGTTTGGTATATTTAGTGAGCCACAAAGCCAATGTTGCAGACCCTGATCTAACAGATAAAAAATGTGATCATAGAAATGAATGCTTACTGTAAATTATAAATCAGTGTTGGCGTAAATTGTAAGGGCTAAATATCAAATTGGTCTATTAGACAATCAGTCAGGGTCTCTTCTGTTGGCCACTGTCATCATAAGAAGTAGATTTAGTATTAAACTGCAATGACTGATCTAGATAATTTGATAAAGGGCAGAGTATTTTTTGTCCTTCTAAAAGGATAATCAGATAAGATGCTCTTTAATATTAATAAATATTATATTAATAAATATGATAATAGAGTTGTTGTTTTATCTTTATCATGCATTACGTGACATATATATTATTTCTAAATTCTCTCACTTACCAATTAAAAATACATAAATATGTTTTCAATAAATGGGCCAGGGCCTGTTCTGCAGGGGCACTGGCCCCTTTTGGCAACTGTTTAGAACCGCCCCTTGTTCGTTCTGATGATTTCTATTTGCAGGTTATGAAAATTCATTAAGGATCCGAAGACAAAAAAAAAAAAAAAATTTCAATTCAAAAAGATCAATTCCTTTTTAAAGTTTGTCAATTCAAATGGTACTTTTGATCTGACAAACTTCTAACTTGCTGAATATTAAGGTATTTACACAATGAGAACAAAAAGAACTGTGACCAAACTCAATATTTCCATTATTTCTGAATTCAGCATCATCAATTAACTTTAACTTTTTATTAGAAGGAAGAAGGTAAACTATTTTGGTCATCATGGTCAGCTTCCCGTTCTGTTCCTACTGATCTGTTCTAGAAACACCTCACTGTTGCTGGAACGAGTTAATTCAGTCCTCCCTAGTCTGTAATGCAGCACATTGGTGGGTATAGTTGGTTCGCTAGTTATAAAAAGTCAGAATTGTTGCTTCCACTCGGTTAAGCTGAATATATCCTTGTTTAATAACCAATTTCAGTTAATTTAACATTTTTTATTTACACTGGTAAAGGTTCACTTTCCACATCTTCCCTTTGACTGAACAGAATTTGTCATCCCAGCTTCCTCTGTCTCGATGAAACTCTCAGACCTTGTGACGGCAACATGTATGTAAAGGCGAGGTTTGGTTCCCATACGGTTCAGTGAGAACCGGCAACAATGCGGCCCCTTTGATCTGCACATGCAGGAGTTATGAGCACAAGGCCACTTCCCTTCGCTGTGGCCTCCATGGAGGAGCCAGGCAGGGGTCCCGGTCCTCTGCGGAGTTATTAAAGGCCAGAGGGGAGCAGGGGACAGTATCAGCACTGTCTACCACATCCTTCTCAGTGGCTGCGCTCCCTCCACCTTTCCCCTGCTCCTTCCTGACCTCATGGCCGCTCCCTCGTGCAGGTGTGGCCACACAAACACGGCAGGAAACAGAACATTTTAAGCTTCCTGTCTGCGTAATGATGGTGGACTTATTAGTCTCCTCCCCCGCTGCCCTCTACTCTTTCAAAGGATGTCATTAAAAACATTTCCTTATTTTTAAAGAGTTTTTGCCTCTCTGCTTTCATACAAGCGGCAACTTCCTCAAAAGATTAGGTTTATGTGGAAGTTCCTAAAGCTTCTCAAATGGCCTCCTGGGACTCTGTCCAGAACGCAGTCAGTCACAATGAAACGATATGGGCTAAAGCTCCACTTCTAGAACATCCCTGACTAATTCTGCTTTACTTCATCTCGCTAACATGTTTGGCCGTACAATTTCCTTTCACTTAATTCTGCGTCTCTTTCTTAGTATGTAGAACAGTCATAGTGGAAAAATAACAATGGTAGCTTTCCTTTGAAAAGAGGATTTTCCAGGAGAAGGGTTAAAAAACATGAATAAAACAGACTTTGAATCCGTGTTTGCATCCTTTCTGTTTACATATTCCTTTTCTTTCAGGTCCATTGTATCGTTTTACCTCCAGCATATATTTTTGACATACATTTCTTAGTTTTCAAATGTTTAAAAAATATTTTTTCCCTAAATTAAAAGTCAAGGTAATTTTTTTTTTTATTGGATTTCGGCCGCCTTCTAAGTCCATTCTGAAACAGTTACTATTGGAAAAGCCCAGCCTTAGGCCTCGAGCTATGACCAAGTATCATGAAAAGTTTTACTTTGACACATGGGTTATAAAGTAACAATTTCAAACAAAATGTATCTTCAACTCTATGATTTTGTTTTCCTCTATGTTTATATGCACATCTGTCCCTACTCGTCATCTTTGACTAACCATGTTAAGTTAATATTAAAGTTGATAATTAACTTGTAGATTTTAGGTGTTATTCCTCTGTTAAGATTTGATTCATAAGCTCTTATGATTAGTTCAATCATATATATGTTGAATTCCTGATTATATTAGTTACCGTATTTATTTTAGAGACCTGTAGAAATGTTCTTTATTTATTAAAAAGTTGTTATATGTTAAAGCTTTCCATTTGATTATCTTACAACATAAAAAAAATGTATGTTTACCTTTTCGTTATCCAGATTTTTAATTTTGGGTCAAAGCTATTTGGTATAAAGGGTTTATTGAATGATAACCAACTTTGTGTTTGGATTTGTTTTTTTTGTTTTTTTTGTTTTTCTAGTTTGTTTTTATCACTTATTTATAGATTATTATTGTATTGTAGATATTTTCCAGTTTATGAGTTTAACCTCTCAGTGTTTGCTGTTATTGCTGTAGTGGGAGGTATTTAACCACCCTTTGTCTCTCTTCCAAAGAAATCCTATTTAGTCATTTATTTTCTGATTTATCTAAGATTACTCGGATGTATATTTTTTAGGTTACATATTTTCTATTCAATTTGACATTAAGGTTCCACATTCAAGATCTTTCTTTACCTTTAAATATTGTTGGTCAAAACAACTTCCCCTGATTTTTGTTTTATCTTTATAAAATTGTTGAACGATTATTTGTTCCATTTAAATGAGTTCAACTTTTCAAATGTTCAGATTTTTTCCAATCACAGATTTCATCTGTTTTACCACATATTTTCTTTTGCTCTTTTTTAGAGATTAATTTTTGCTCCAGTTTTTTCATCCCTTATCTGTTTGAGCTCACAGTTGAGTTGGAGGTACAGCATTAGCTATTTTTAAGTGTTTAAAATGAGTTTCAATTTGCACAAAATGCACTGAACAGTCATAAATTGGATGATTACATTTGGATGGAGAAGGGTACATTAATGCTGCATTTATGTTTAAAAAAGATAGAAAAAAACTCCATCCCCTATGCATCCGAGTCAAGATAATTGTGACATGAAACTACAAAAAACATAAAAAAGGCCCTGAAAACCAGGTTATAATTAGAGTAGATTTAATTCTATGCTTTTGGTGATATTTAAATTAATATTTAAGTATATAGATTTTTGTTCTTATCTAGTGAGGGAGGGAAAAGCCTGTTACAGAATGTTGTGATTATTTTTTCCTGCACTAAATATTATTGTTCCTTTTTATTAGAGCTGAACAGGAAATTTGGGATTTCAAAAGAAAGTTTTGATTTGTTTATGTGATAATAGTTCTGGCTCCATTAAAACTGGACCATCTGAGGTCGTCTCTTCCAGCCGACTTAACTTTCTACAAAGACTTTTCCTTTCCTTAATTAAAGGACTACTCCCTTTTCCCTGATACAGATTAAAGTCCATAGATGCTACATTTTTCTCTCCATAGCCCTTTTATCAGCTTGCTTAGTAAAATCTTTTTTGGCTTGAAATGAAACACGGCATCACGGTGACTTGCGGCGGCGTGCGCGATCCGTTCCACGCCAACAAAAACAAGCTGCCGTCACATTGCTCTCCTTTTTGTCGGCGTTCGTTAGCTCGATCAGATAAGGTTCCAGCTCTCGTAGACGTTTGTTGTGGCTCTTTAGCTTCCTCCTAATGTCACAACAGGCTTTGTTCAGACTTGGTCGGTTGGGTGACTGCATCAATACTCATGCCAGGTCTGTTACCAGCCAACCGCCTCGCCTGCTGTTGTCCCTCAGGGCTGAGCTGGCAGCATTACTGGTACTTCAATGAGTAATGCTCAAGTGGTATCACTCTTTTAAAGGAGGGGTGAAAGTTCAAGCTTGGTTGCAGCTAAATATTAATAAAGCCTTGATCACATACACCCAAAAAAAATCCCCAAAATGTATACAACCATCCTTTTAACAGCTATACAGCCTGATAAATGCTATATGATCACTTTATTATTATGTTATTACTACCATTTTCAGTTTTTTTTCCCTCACATAATGATTAAATAATCAGTGGTCCTTTCAGAGAATTAAAAGTTTCTTTTAAATATATATTTTTAAGAGGAATTAGCTTTTTATGTATATCAATGTTAAAATAAAACTCTATGGACTTTAGAAGTAGTATTTACTCATAAATTAAATAGAAGTTGGAAGTTGGTTGATATAATGGACTTATGGAAGGTGAAGGGAATGAATGAATACATTTCACCTCTTCACACCCTTTTTTAGACATGAGCAGTAAATTATATCTGTCAATACTTATGTAGATGTTTGCATGTGTTTCATTTGTAATATTTTAATGGATTTAAGATAAAGTTAATTTATTCAATCATTCAAAGTGCCAGTGAGAAGGATGCTTCCTCTTATAATGGGCTTTAAGCCCATTATATATATTAACGATAGAGGCCTTCCCTCCATAGTGGAAAACACTGAAAAGATCTTAGTATATTTTAGGTGGGCATGCAGCTATAGATGAAGTTAATCTATTGTTATTTTTTTTGTGGACATATTACTATAATCCAGAAATATTTTAAGTAAATAAAAATTCTAAATCAACATACATTTGGAATGGAGAACTCAAACCTTCATTGCATATTTTAGATGCATTTCAAATAGCAATAAATGTTGAAAGTATATGTTCATATGTGGATTTTTTATCCATAAATCAAGATTTAAAGCTTTAAATTTTATATAATGTGTCTTTGGATCTTCTGTCTCAAGACAATGATTGCAATGTTTGCAAAATTAGGTGAGAAAGATTTAATTATTTATCAATTAGGATTAATGCCATAAATTGTTTCAGGGCTTATTTTTAAAATTAAAATATGACATTTGAAACATGATGTTAGAACACATGTTAAATGCTTTATTTTGAAGGAGGGGGGTGTGGATTTTTGCTAAAACAAAACACCAAAATTGCTAATTTTTTTTTTCTTCTCTGTAATCATACCAGTTGTTTCCTGGGTTTCATTATCTTCATGCTCTTGATGGCTCTCTTGTCCAAAGTCTGTTGGCAGAGGACTTAGTTGTTGCTTGGAAAAGTGCGAACTTCTTACTCACATGCATTGATGTGAAATGATCTGGTTGAACTGTAAAGTGCCTTGAGATGACATGTGTTGTGAATTTGGCACTATATAAATAAACTGAATTGAAATGTAAAATTTAATTGATCTGTGCACTAGCTGCAACTTTCGCTCCCCTCCTATGTGGCGGCAAATTGAATTTCAGCATATTACTGCCACCTGGTTTAATGTAACATCACCAAATATACAGTGCCTCTGTGACTTGTAAATTGTCTTCGTGTTTGTATATATTCTTTTATTGCAATTATATTGCACATGCAATCAATTGTCCAACCCTAATCAAGACTATTTAAAAAAAAGGTCTCTGTTAGGTGGCCAGCCAATGTAAAGGTCTAATTCAAGCCATCGTCGTCATCATGGAGGGCATCAGAAAAATGCATTTTCATAACTTTTAGTCACTCCATATTCAATAGTACCTCGGCAGTTGGAGGATGCCATTCATTGCTGTGTTTTGTTCTTACAAGACAGGAAAATATTTTGAGGTCCAGCCTCAGGGATTTGGTCCTGACTGGCGGACTTCCTCTCTCTCCTCTCTGCTCTCTATGTGTGTTCTGTCTCATTCACCCGCACACGTTGTAGAGAGCTAGACAGTTCCCTGAAGCAGCCCCCCCTCCAGGTCTAAGAAGGAGGGGGGGTGTCGTTGTTCTTCGGCTCCAGCCAGGAAGAAGGGTCTAAGGGGTTTGTTATTTTTGCTGTCCGATAGCATCTACATGGGTTCCTCAGCCCTGGCTGTTTATTATGCTGCCCAGGCAGGTTGTGAGGGTCTGTGTTCTAGAGGGTGGAGCATATGGTCCAAGCTCCATCGCCATGGTGACCTGCTGTCGACAGCATCAGTCAGTCATCTGCCCAGAAGGTGTCAGAATTTGCACCTCTAGGTGTCCCATGGGGTCTGTTGGATTCCCATCACAGCTGCTCCTCAGCTGCCCCTTCCTCTTCAGCTCCCCTCCTCATCTGGCCAGATGTTGTTCTCTTGTTGCACATAAACAATCCTTATTGACCTAGAATTCAGCATCTTTGTTGAATCTTTAATGTACTTTGTATCTATGATAAGATGTTCCTGATGTAACCGGGGCTTCCGAGTCACTAACACGCTTCCTGCTGCTCCCCTTCCTGATAAATGTTCCCCTTCATTGGTTTCTCCTCAGGAAGAGCACCTGAAACCAAAGCCCTTGGCCTCGACAAGCTGGGCGTGGAGCTCAACACGCAGACAGGGAAGATAGTGGTTGGGCCTGACGAATCTACCTCGTTGCCAAACGTCTACGCTTTGGGTGACATCAGTGAGGTAGGTATGGGGCTGACGGCGGGAACGCTCCTGATAGCGATCGACGCCTGAGAATCACTCTATAATTACTGGTTTTAATTTTAACTACAAAAACACAACAAGTTCCTACAGATGGCCACGCCCATCCAGGAAGCTGGGAAGGTTTTTCATGCTTTAAACATGAGGCCCAGATGTTTGTGTTCTTAAAGACAAAATAATAATTTCAGGTTTATTTTAGTTACTGTTTTTTCCCCCTATACTGTATTTTATATTTACAGAGGTATCCAAGTATTTATTACCAAATTTTGATCATTTAAAAAAAACATTTTCAGTAGTTTTATATTACAGATCAAATCTAATAAGTGTTCTGTGCAGAAACCCACAGCTCAGTCTATTGCCATAACAGCTATTATTCATGCCCTTTATGGAGCGGCAGCAACAGCATTCAAAGGTATGTGCCTCCGGCCATGTAGAAGAAACAGCTAACCTGGAAGAAAAGTTAAATCTGCTCAGATGAGACCTAATTAAGATCTTTTCTGTGACAAAATGAGAAAATAATCGTTCTCCCCCTCCACAAGCATGGCTGAACCTTCATGTTTCGGGTTAAAGTTTGACCGATAATCTGGCCGTTTTTTCACGTATCAGTGTTGGTTGATTAACTATTGCATCCAGCTGCCATGAGTTGAGATTTTATCCACGTCTATTTACTCTCTATTGTTAATATATTGTCTTTGATATATTAAAACAAGAAAGATTTGTTAAAGTTGTAAAGGATTCTTTTTTATTTTTTTATTTTGACTCATTACTTTGGTCATTACAGTGTCATATTTACCATGTAAATTGGGAAGAGAAAGCAAAATCCTACTAAAGAATCAGTCCCCGCCTCAAAAAATCTGCAGCTTACAGGGAGGTAAGCTGCAGTCAGGCCAATTTCAAAATAATCTTCATGTGCATTAGCCATAAAACCTCTCGGTAAATCTCTGCTTTTGGTTTGTTTTCAGCAGGAAATGCAGCAACTTGCCAATAGTTTGCACATGAGACAGCATAAAAATAAACATTTTTAAGGCAGTCAGTATTTGTTCTAAATGCATTTTAGTGTTCAGTCTGTCTGAAAACCTGCTAATCTTCCTACAATTGTATTTTGGTGTCTTTTAAATCAAAAGCCAACCATCTAGCAGCAAACTTCCTGCTTCTTTAAAGTACCTTGTTGAACAAAATCAAGTTGGTTTAGAAAAATAGCTTTATTGTACACAATTTAAAATGATAAAATAAACTCAGAGAAAAGTCTTTGTCCTTCATCCCGGCGCCATATTAAACAAAAACAAGAGCTGAAACCCAGGTGAGTTGGGTTTGTCATCACTCGGGCAGAAGCTGACGATACGACAGAACCTGAATAATGTGATCCTGCAAAAGGAGGGTGCATCTCAGGAACTGGCACTGTGTTATTACAAGTTAAACCTGCTGCATGTCAGTGTTGTTTTTTCTACCACAACCAACTGTGAGCTTCCTTCCTGCCTTCCAGGTCTCATAACACACACACACGCACGCATGCACACACACATACTTGGATATGTGATTGACGGCTCCCTTTGATGAGTATTCCTCATCAATCTGTCTTTTGGCTTTTCACAACACAGACTTTTTTTTTTTTCTCTTAAAGTAAAGTCTGTCTACTTTCATTCTGTTCAAATCATTTTGGAGCCAAGTTTTTTTTTTTTTTTTTGGTAACCAAAAAATGTATTATGGTGACGCATTCAGTCTGACTTGTAAACAGGGGCTGGAATGCCAGAGCACACATCCACATACATGCAGAGGCGTGGACCCATGTTTGCTTACAACAGGATGTGTGTTGGTAATTTAACAAGTTGAAGTCATGTCTTTAAAACTTGCCTGCAGCCCTACTGTTTCCTCAACTCCTCGGTTGGATGTGTGTCTCCATGGCAATGTGTTTGTCTGCTGGCGAGGAGCCAGAACAATAGAGAAAAACACGCAGAGGCAAAGCTTTTTTTAAATGAAGAGATGTGTTTGCATCCATTTTTACATCTTGGATGTGGATATATGGCTTACATTTACCCAATAATATTTTATTTACTCTAAATAAATAATAAATAAATCTTAATTCCTCAGAATCACCTAATTGATTCTGTGTCATTAATGTCAGTATAAATCAAACTGTTTGGTTTCTGGCCTCAGTTGAGAGCAAAGAGTGTCATAAAAAACCAAGGACTTCATGACCAATCCTTAATATTTCATTTTTAGTCATCATTTCATGTTGGTTCAAGATCGTCTTCCAACGTTTTCTATGATTATTATTCCACTGTTGTCAAATATGTTAACATGTGCACAGAATCTCTCTCCATCCTCTGGGTTTCTACCAATTTCTCTTTTGTGAAAATAATGCCTTCACATTTGTTAAAGTTTTCACCTGAATTTCAACCGTGCTAAACGAGACAAACAAACTGTTGCTGCAGCTGAGTTTCAGTTTGGGGAAAATCCCTTTGCATGCTGTAAATGTTTCTATTTGAAAACCTCCCACCCAGGAATTTACTCATTAGAATATGCTCTGCAGTTGCACAAAAAAAAGGTTTGCACAGTTTGTCTGCTGAATTGCAAACACAAATCACTTTGCGCCGTCTTTAAAGAAGCTGACGAACAAACACTTTTGCACCTGTTTTAAAGACTCACAAACCTCATTTAGATCAGACTCCCAAGTATCTTAGGTAAACTAATCATCAGTTCCACTGCCTTTGTGGACATTTACTTGCAAAGACAGAAAACAGTAGCCTGACGTAGTCCTACTCAATTCTAGTCAGAATATTAGTCTGATACTGCTCCATAGAGCTGTGATTATGGGGCGTGTTTCGAACGGACCAGGAAAAAAATGCCTCTGCACTCAATTGGATAGACCTACAACCAATAAGAGCAACGGAGTGCGTGACGAATGTTAAGCGACGCATAGTTGTTGTCAACAAAAATCAAAGCGTGCAGTTGCACGCCTAGAATAAGATGAGCCTTGATCGCGTTTCTCTGTTCCTCTTTTAAACTTAATTCACTGTCGATATCTTCTAGAATAGACCTAATAGCAGAATCTACTCAACTCTCCAGCGGCAGCCATTGTTGTTGTCACCCAAGCGCGCTTTGGTGACGTGGTTGATTACGTGACTGTTGATCATCTGTCCATCATCGTATAAAGCCCGCCCTGACAATTTGATTGGCCCGCCAGATATTGTGCGATCATACTCGCGCTACTATTGAGCAATGCCAGACCGAACTTCCCGACCTCAAACGTTGTGGGCGGGACTAAGTGCGGAATGGCACCCAGGCCAAGAAAACAGAGCATCACGGCTAGAAAGGTGCAGCAGTCTTATGCTCTGTTCTTATGGACAGCTCATAAAGTTACATACAGCTATCCGGCTGGCTAGCTCAAGTGATAAGGCACCCGTCCTGCAAAAAGGAAGCCTGGGTTCATATCCCAGCTGGGGCGAATGAGCTTAGGCATAAGGACATGTCATGACCCTCCTTTTCTTTCAGGGTCGTCCCCTCATGCTAATGCCTGCTTTGGGGAGTGGCGGCCTACAATTTAGGGCATTGGAATCCTGAGGTTGTGAGTTTGAAACCCAGTCCCTCAGCCTTCACTCCAAGTCTCTGAGCAAGACCCTTAACCCTTACACTGCACATAGCAGCCCACTGCATGGGTTAAAGGCACAGTGAATAAAACGCTGGTGGCTGTAATTCTGATGAGTAACAATAAACCAAACAAACCTGCTTAGACTTTATAATCACTACCAGTTCACTGGTACTAACATGAAGTCTGTGGTTATGTTGGGTGTAAATGCAGGATCTGGGATAATAAAAGTGTTTACCTTGATCACGATCATCAAATTTATGACTATATTATGACTTTTTGTCACTTTTAATTCTCATATTAAAGCCATATTGGAGCAAACTCAACCTCAAACTCCTTTTCTTTCAGGGTCGTCCTGAGTTGACCCCTACTGCCGTTAAGGCGGGAAAGCTCCTTGCCCACCGGCTGGCCGGTCAGAACACCGACCTCATGAACTATGACAAAGTAAGAAACACACTAAAAGTAATAAATGCCTTCATCTCTCTACACCTCATGGCTTTTTATGTGTGCTGGTTTCGGCCCATGGCTGAGGCTGATGTATAGCTGGTCTCTCATCTGAAACTCCCCTCCATTTAGCAGCTAACTTCTCCTTAGGATGATTCATAGCATATTGTAGCAGCGTTTTCGTCTGTGAGCTCATTCTTCATCAGTCATAGTATACACACTAATCCTTCAGCAAGGTTTTATTCCAGTCGTTGTGCTCAAACAGATTAAAGGTTTGTTTTGACGTTGGTGCAGAAGCAATTTCTCTTAAAGCTGATTTTCATGTGTAAACACATGAATTCATCATATTTTCTCTATGTTTTCTAAATTTGTAAGATGCGCTTGTCTGTTTGACAGGTGGCTACGACCGTGTTTACCCCTTTAGAGTACGGCTGTGTTGGTTTATCAGAGGAGGAGGCTGAGAGGCGACACGGAAAGGACGGGATAGAGGTAGGATGTTTTATTCTGATACAGTTCAGGTCAAATTTATCTCTAAACTCTGGCCTTTCTGACAAAACAACCTAATAAGTAGTAACGCACCGATACCAGTAACGGGCTGGGCCCCGATCCAGCCAAAAGTTTATTCAACTATTGTCACCCATTCCAGGTAGGCAATAAAAAGTTCTACTGGATTCGCTTTGTATTTTTTTTTTTTTTCCTGCCTTACAAAGGCAGGCAGCAGCTTAACAAAGCCATGGTGGCAATTATTTTACACTACTGATAAGTGAAGCTCTTGATGATTTGGATGTATTCTCATCATAGGCATGAATGTTGCATCAGTTTGGACATTTTAAAAAGTTATTTTTCTCAGGGTTTGATAATGATTCAATAATCAGCTTCTAACACATTTTATTAAGCTTAAAAATCTCCCCAAGTCCAAATAGAAGAGGGCTCAACTATATACATCTTGTACAATTTTACTCTGCACCCGTTTCTCTGAGCTCATGTCGACTTTATACTCTTTGAGGTTGGAACCAGTCAAAGAAACTAAACCGCCTGTGATACTTTTCAGGAAATCCCTCCTCTGCTGTTTTCTTCCCAGTTGCTGCTATTATTGTCAGCAAAACATCTCCATCCTAAACGCTGTTTTCTTAAAGAGTTTAATAAAAATCTTTAATCTGTTCAGACCACAGTAAAATGCTCCTAAGTATTTTATATTTAATATTAAATTTGAAACTTTATATGGGCTAAGCTAATGTGAGCTTCACTGTTAAAGATAGTGAGGCTTTTGTTTATTGTTGAACACATACAGTCAGTTTGCAGCTACTGTTAAGCATGTTTCCTTTAATGTCCAGCATTGTGTTTAAAAAGTTGTCAGCTGATGACCGAGGTGGCTGCTCCTTAAAAAGTCCAGGTAGACGTTGACATCAGTGTCCCAGCAGCTTCTAGATTGGTTCTAACCATCTTCGTTGCTGCTAACAGGGACAGTTTGGGTCCGATGAATGAAACATAAACAATTGGGTGTCCAAGAAGTGATATTAAACACATGGACACTGGATTTTTTTTATATTAAATGAAATATTAAGCTTATTACAGAGACAAAAATTCATTAACCAAGTAAATCCGAGGGAGTATGCATACATTTAACCAAACTTCTGCTCTTAAGCATTTTTATAACTGAATTTATTTCTTAACACAGCCTTTCTTTTTGGGTTTTCCTGTTTGTTTCATTCCTTCCTTATTTCCTTGTCCTTTCTTCCATCCTCACTCCCTTAGTTCTTCCTCCCTTTCTTCTCCTCTCCTTTTGACCCTACCTATATCCCACCTTCTATCCTTCTTACCTTCCTTGTCTAATTTCTCATTTCCTTCCCAATGTCTTATTTGGTTCTTTACACAGATTTTTGTGTTTAATCCTTCCTTATTCCCTACCTTCTATCCTTGCTCTTACTGTTTCTTTCTTGGGTCCTTATGAAAACCTCTAATTGTGGCTCCTACTTTCTGTTCCTAGCTCCTGTCTCTTCAGTTTTCTCAGGGTTAAAAGGAGGAACACCATCTATGGTAGAAAAGGAGCGCCAGGCTGCTCTGCTTAATCCAGACAGCCTTTAGTTTTTATGGACGTCATTACATGACGAACACACAATGAATACGCTGGTTAAATTGGGACTGCAGGCTTCTGGGGAAAAAAACAAAAAAAAAACAAAAAAAACAGAAATGAAACAAATTTTGTGAACTGCTGAAACTCTCAGCTGAAAACTCAAAACATATTAAGGTCTGTCCATTAGCTCGTGTCACACATTACATGTCCTAAAATAATAACAGTATTTTGTTAAACTCTGAGGTGAGATTTGTCAGGACGTTTTAATAGCTCCTAGTGGTGGATAGGAACATCAGAAGGTTCCTATGCTAACTGAATAATAACTTCGAAGCATCCTGCTTCCACATTCTAGCTCCTCCTTTGCAGTCAACACTATTCAGATATTTATTTATCATGGAGACTGTTTCCGCTTTGGCTTAATAGTCCTTCATGGTTTATACTATTCAGATGGAGCTATTGTATTTTTCCTTTTATTCCTTCTTTCTTCTTCTGCTCTCCTTTGAACCTTACTGGGAAACTCTGAAACCTTAGAAACAGCCAAAATCGAAACTTAAAATCGAAGCTTGCATCGATCAAACCTAAATGTGCCAGGATGGGAATAATTTTAGTTTGTTAACCCTGCTACTATGGTACTATCTGCTATTAATTCCTAGGAAACTTTCTATTTTACACTTGAAACATATGAAACGTTGAATTTGGGAAAAGTCTTGAGTGAAACAAAATTGATATAAAAGCATAAAAAACCAAAGTTACTTTACTGCCTGTGAAGGATGAACCTATGTATAAAACCAAGTGCTCAGCGCTTAATAAAGTGACATGTTTCTGGATGACTTCTTTTTTATGGCTAAATAAAAAAAAAGCTTTCATTTCATTTAATAGCACCATTATTATACGATTATTAGAAAATATTCTAACTTTATAAGCAGGGAGACTCTTTGTACGTTATTCATATGTTTTATTCATAAGGTTATTATCCTCATCGAGCTTGTTTAAGTGCACCACAGCTATACAAACAGCGCCATAAGTGTGCACAATGAATCAGCAAGTAGCTCTTTATTTTACCTGCCAGTGAGCGTGCACGATGTGCCAGATGCTAGCAACACCTGCAGAGCGCTGACGATAAATGATGGAGCTGGCGAGCTGGGACTCCTGCCTTTGAGTGGCAGGAAAGCAGGAGGTCTGATTGAGGTGTGTATGGGGCGATGACAGGCACGCTGAGATCTGAAGGAGGAGCAGCCCCCCCCCTCCGCTCCGACAGCTGCACGGCCCTCACAACTTGTGTCGGCACGTTCGCTCGCAGAATAAAACTCGGTACACACAACATCTCCATGAGGTTTGAAGTACTGAGATGTTTATGTTTTTGGGCAAGAATTGAGGCTAACGAAGCTTAGCAGCTTGGTTACTCTTAAAACAATCCTCTCCATCTTTAATTCCACGTTGATCCGTTTGGGTTCCCTTAAAAGTTACAGTTTGGTTTTAAACTTTCAGTATTTCAGTTTCTATTGAATTCTTCAAAGAGTGATAAGACGGCTCACAATGTGCACAAGTGGAAGTTCCTGCAGAAACCTCCTCCAGTTTTCTTTGATGCTCGACAACATATTTTGAAGGGAATGTAAAGCAATCATTGGCAGACTGAATATGGTTTCAATGTTACTTTTCCTGTTTGTTTGATGTGCTTTTTATGTCTCTAGGTTTTCCATGCCTTCTACAAGCCACTAGAATTCACAGTAGCAGAACGGGATGCCAGCCAGTGTTACATCAAGGTAACCCCATTAGAAGACACCACGATCCACAATCTTTAGAAAATAAACCACTGTTTCCAAATTGTTTTTTTTTATTTTTATGTTTCTATTTTCAGATTTTGCTTCGTTCTGATTTAATGTTGTGTATTAATATATAAAGGATTTGGTCCAAACAGATCAGGTGTCAGATTTTGGTCATCATTCGTCAGCTGTCACTTCCTCCTCCACATCAAGTTTTTAGTTTAACATTTTAGACATAGCTTCTTGGAAGCAAAAAGCACGTCGATGCACCTGCAAATGTTTCAAGGACAGATGTTTGGGGGGCCGGAGCAGAAAATGACAGCAGTCGACTCCAAAATCATAAAGAAAACCTCAGAGGAGTGTTTCTTCATGTCTTATTTGTTTCCTTTTTACAATCTTGAGTCATTGAGTGTTGCAAAAGGCTGTCCTGATGACAATGTAAAGATCCGGTTAAAAGGAAAATTCAACTTATACTATCTATATATTAAAAATAGTCAGGAAAATACATAAAACACGAGGGGCAGACATATGTGCTAAACGTTTGTTTTAAGTAAAAATCGCTACTGAACATCTACAACTTTGATTTAATACTTTGATTTTTTTTTTCATTATTTCAGGTTATATGTGAGAATGGAGGTGATCGGAAGATTCTGGGTCTACATTTCACTGGTCCAAATGCCGGGGAGGTTATACAGGGTTTCTCTATGAGTTTGCAGTAAGTTGAACTAAAGTCTGGATTCTCTTTTTCTTTATTTAATATCTGAGTTATCCTAACTGTACTTTTGGAGTTGCAAGATTATGAGATAAGAGATATTGTCAATGAAAGCCTGAGGAGTTATTTAGCAAACAGAAAACTAATGTAGAGTTTATCAGACATGTATCTGAGCTCAGAGGCATTCAGTATAAAGTCCCACAGAGATCGCTGTTGGGAATTAAACTGTTACATTTATTTATTAACAACATCTTTAATTGTTCTATTAGCAGATTACATGCTTTTTTAGAGAAAAACTTAGGTTTATAAGATATTTATAAGAAATGTATTTATATTTATAAGATCTTTTTAGAAACAACATTAAAGACATTGTTAGACTTCAGAGGTTTGATGAAAAACTGGCCTAAAATAACATTAGCATGATGTGATTAACCTGGAGGAGGATCTGTATTAATAGAAAGATTATCTGTAAGGTAAAG